CTTAGTAAAATTTTGAAAAAGTAAGACAAAGAAGTTATTTGGATGGAATACATATACATGCATATTAAAGAATGAGTTTTCTCACGCCCCCTTTTCTATTCTCAGGATCAGCAGAAAGAAAGGGTGCACCCAGGTGAATATAACAATCAATTATGCAGGGCATTTATATCATTACTAAATAAGTCAAAACCAGCAATGTTGAATAAGGTCCACTGCCTTTCTATTCAAATTTGTATTTCTTCATGTCTATCTATAATTGTCTTGTGTACTGTCTGCCCATTAGCCTACCCATTTTTGTGTAATTCCTACTTATCAAATGTTCTGGTCTACTGTCTGCCCATTAGTCTGTTAGACTGCCAATTTTTTTTAGTGCTATTTATTGCCTTCTCATCAAATTGTTCTGTTGACAACTTTTAAATGTGGTGAATTTAAGACTGCATGTATTAGCATATAACAATCAGAAGTAATAATGTATCTTTTAGCTGATTCAGGTTTGGTGGATTTGATGAAACACTTGGAGGTTGCTGAGCCTCCCAAACAAGTGTTATCCTCGGTGGACCTGGAGGGAATCGTTCAGTTTATCAAGGATAAAAAAGCCACGAATATCATAACCATGGCTGGGGCTGGAATCTCCACATGTAAGGAGTAAGAGCAATGTAGTAGAGCTAAGCATAACAAATTCTTAACAGAATGACTGGTAATGTTAATCTTCCTTAAAGTTAATAGAAATATATAGGAAAATTCTTTAAAAATCTTCTTCTCAAGGATGACAAAGCCATAATTCATCATATTTATTCCATTGCATCCACAGCATAACTTTGATGTAAAAAAAAAAAATATTTATACCCTGTTCACACGTAGACTTGAATTTGAATTAAACTTAGATACTGCGAATTAAATTTGAACAGTAGCCACAAGGAGAATTTAATGCAAATTAGTTTAATTAGGGAATGAAGCTTATTTTAACCTTTATTGTATAACATAGGTTAAAATCAGCTTCATTCCTTATTATTTAATTTCAGGGTAGACAATAAAACAATTTTTTTTCTCCAAAATTGGCTGAAAATTAAGCATATTTTAAAAGTAACTTCAAGTGGAGTAATACTTTTTTGACAGAACTCATTGTTATGTAGGCAGCTTATGTTATACGATATAAAATAAATAATTATCCAATCAAATGACATGTTACAAATAAAATTAATTTTTTTGCGAATTAGTTTACTGCTCATTCAATTCAATTACTTTGCATAAGCTCCTTGTGAATGCTAAGGGAAGATAATTTGAATTAAATTGTGACACAAACTTAATGCGAGAATTAAGTCACAGGCCACGTGTTAGTGGTTAAAATTATTTGTGCTGTTTTTGGTCGAAGGAAAATGATGTTGATCACTAAAATGTACACAGTTAGTATGATTTTTATGTCAAAAGGCTCTGTTCTGCATAAGGTGACATGATTTACAAATGATGTCATAATAGGTTGCTGAATGGCCTTATTTATTGTAGAAATAACATTTTAATCGCATTAGTTTACTTTGCTTTAGCTGACCTGTGAAAGCAATTAAAATTCACATTATTTTAATTTGCATTATTTTACTTTGTCTTAATTTAATGCCAATTTAACTCTCAGTGTGAACAGGGCTTTAGTTGAGGTCTTGCAAAGTAATCATTTTTCCTGAGTCATGAATGCTATTTTGTTAAGGTTATGATTTCAAATAAGCTTAGGTTGGAAAATTTAGTTATATTTGTTTTGAACTAATTTTCCAGCGGCTGGTATCCCTGACTTCAGATCCCCAGAAACAGGACTCTACCACAACTTGGAGAAATACGACCTGCCTACTCCCCAGGCCATATTTACTTTGGATTACTTCAAGGTGATAATTTTGTTATACATTTACATGTTTCTTATATGTGTATCTTATTTTTTGTATATTTATTACTGATTTGGAGTACAGTTGGCCCACAATAGGGAATCAAAGTTTTACATTGAAATATATAAAGAAAAAATTTAGAATTCCTTCTTCCAAAGAACCTCTGGACCATGAAAGCTGAAACTTACGTGAAAGCTTCTTGAGGTAGTGTAGATTCTAAATTATTTAAATAATTGGTGGGGCCACAATAGGGAATCAAAGTTTTGCACTGAAATATAATAAGGAAAATATTTCAAAATATTTAAAAACCTTCTTCTCAAAAACTGCTTGACCAGAAAAACTGAATCTTATGACATGGAAGCTTCCTGGGGTGTTGAAGATTGTAAATTATTCCAGGGGTAGGATGAGGCCACAAAAGGTGATCAAAAATAAAGAAAACATTTGTTTGGTACAAACAGATTTCAGAGTGACTCAGAGGTCAGGGTTGTGGTCCATGGGTCTCTTTGAAATTTGTATTATTTATTTTTATTAAGATTCTACTCCTCGTACAGTCTTATTTCAATAAGACACCAGTAGACTACACTTAGGTACACAGAAAAGCTTATAGTGGTTTCTTCTGTAATGAATTTTTTTTCTATGGTTTGCTTATACCTGGTATTTAACTTAATTTTATGTGGAACAATTGCTTTGCATTTATTAGAGAACAGTGACATTACATTCATTAATGAGACATAATTTTGGCAGGTAATGGTATTTTCTGTTTGATATTGTTTCATATCAACCTTGGCTTGAAGACTATCTTGTGAAAATTAATTACCGTACTGAGTTAATCTGGACACAGAAAAGCTTATAATGGTTTATTCTGTCTGTAAACTTTTCACATTTTCGAATTTTCTATTTGGGCCAATTTTGACCAAACTTGGTACAAAGCATCCTTATATTTCACTTTAATTTAATTTGGAAACTAATTGAAAGCTTTGCATATTAAATTGTTCAAAGAACCCCCGTGACAATAATTAAAGTTTTACATAGAAATATATAGGAAAAATCTTGGAAAATCTTCTTCTCAAGAACCACTGCTCGGGACATAATATATGTAACTTATGTGAAAGCATCCTAGGGTAGTGTAGATATTAAATTGTTCAAATCATGATCCCCGGGGGAAGGGCGGGGCCACAATGGGGAATCAAAGTTTTACATAGAAATACATGTATATAGGAAAAATCTTGGAAAATCTTCTTCTCAAGAACTACTGGGCCAGAAAAGCTGAAACTTATGTGGAAGCATCCTGGGATAGTGTAGATTCTAAATTGTTCAAATCATGACCCCCGGGGGAAGGGTGGGGCCACAATGGGGAATCAAAGTTTTACATAGAAATATATAGGAAAAATCTTGGAAAATCTTCTTCTCAAGAACCACTGGGCCAGAAACGTTGAAACTTATGTGGAAGCATTCTTGGGTAGTGTAGATTTTAAATTGTAAAAATCATGACCCCCGGGGAAACCCACAATGGGGAATCAAAGTTTTACATAGAAATATATAAGAAAAATCTTGGAAAATCTTCTTCTCAAGAACCACTGCATGGGCCAGAAAAGCTGAAACTTATGTGGAAGCATCCTGGTATAGTGTAGATTCTAAATTAAATCATGACCCCCGGGGGAAGGTTAACAATTGGTAATCAAAGTTTTACATAGAAATATTTTGGAAAAATCTTTGAAAAACTTCTTCTCAAGAACCACCGGGCCAGAAAAGTTGAAACTTATGTGGAAGCATTCTTGGGTAATGTAGATTTTAAATTGTTCATATCCATGGTGGGGGGATTCATAAAAATATATAGGAAAAATCTTTGAAAACCTTCTTCTCAAGAACCACTGGGCCAGAAAAGCTGAAACTTATTTGCACATGGAAGGATCCTGGGATAGTTGATTTCAAAATGTCTTAATTATGATCAGTGGGGTAGGGTGGGGATACATAATGTATTACAAGGGGGAAATCTGGTAAAGAACAGAATGGTCAAAGCTTCTCAGGTGAGTGATGTGGCCCATTGTTTCATTGTATTCACCTGTATTGACCCCTGTAAGCTTAGAGACATAACATTCCATACTTTGATAATAAATTAAACCAAATTTTTGCAGGAAAATCCTGAGCCTTTCTGTATGCTAGCAAGGGAGCTGTGGCCAGGGACTTTTAAGGTAAAGATGCGTCAACAATCTTGGTATTGTCTGTGGAGTAATTATAGTGCTCTGTCATAGAAATACTCTTAATATAAGTCACTGATTCACTTTTGTCAATATTTGTTGTCTTTTATTAAATTTTTTCCCCGAACATTTTAGCCAACACCATGTCATTATTTCATTAAACTGCTTGATGAACATGGGCTGTTGAGACGTCATTACACACAGGTAATGTACATGTTTATAATTAATTTGCCAAAGTCTTGCCTTATACATGTGTATGATATGTTAATGAAATTGACCTTCAATTTTTGATAACATGAAGTTGGTCATGTGATCTGAGTTTCTTGCACATGGAAAGCAAACTGCACAAGACTTTTCAAAGGTAGATCTATACTAAGAAATCACATGATCCGGGCTATATGTCTGTTTTATTGTAACTCTAAATAAGCCCTAAAATTGATATCTCGTATCTTTGATATACCGGTATCCACAACACATACATGACATAGCTAGGTAATAGAGATAGAAGATATCTATATTGTGTGATTTTTATTTGCTTTTTAGCTCACCTGAGCCAAAGGCTCAATTGAGCTTTTCTGATCAAAATTTGTCCGTTGTCTGTTATTGTCGTCGTCGTTGTCGTCGTCGTTGTAAACTTTTCACATTTTCATCTTCTTCTCAATATCCACAACACTTGCTGCAAAGTATCCTTGGGTATGACATAGCTAGGTTTTCCAATGGGAAAAATTAATGGCATTTTTAAAAAATCTTCTTCTCAAGATGGGCCAGGAAAGATGAAATTCATATATCCTGTGTGTAGATTCAAGTTTTTATTTGCTTTTTCCAACATGTAGATCATGAATGAAATGGTGTATATTTTTTAGGCTTAATTGCTAAGTGAATGTTACACCATTTAAATTTGTTAGATGAAGCAAAACTAATGAAAAACCACAGTTATACACAATTTTTGTGTAGCTGAAATGGTGTACAATGTATTTTTTTAAGGCACAGTTTAAACTTATTAGTATATTCAAGATATACATTTTTATGTAAACTTTTTCAATCATTTTCAAGACATTTTTTATGTAAGCTTTTTCACTGACTTTACTATATATTGTGTATGAAATTCAGATTTAAAAAAAGAAATGTTAAAGACATTTTTATCAAACTTTATTCGCTAATACAAATTTTCATGTTGCATTATTAATTAACCCTGGGCAGTGCATTCATGTCCAATTGACTTATTTCTGGTTATTGCTGTAATTATAAGAATATTGATACACTGGAAAGTGTTGCTGGCATTGATGCCGATAAAATGGTGGAAGCTCACGGTTCATTTCGCCTGGGCCATTGTCTACAGTGTAATGCAGAGTACACTCAGGACTGGATGAAAGGTTAGTTAACATTCATCACAAAGTTACATCAAGTCACTGCAACCAGGTCCAAATGCATTTCACCCATAGACATCAGTATGCTAAACATTAATGTCTCTAAAAATATTTCTAGTCAATTTCTCTTCTTTTTTTCTATCCAGGGAAAATTTTAGGTGAGGAGCTTGAAATTCCTAAGTGTGAGAAGGAAGGATGTGAGGGATTTGTCAAACCTGGTAAAAATAATCCTTTTATTGATCAGAAAATAAAGTCCTGGGCATACATTATCAGTTGTAAAGTACTCATCCTAGTCATGATTTATAAATCCCGAGATACATGTATACATACAGAAACTGAGGTTTCTGGTGGATATAAATACTGGTATTTCTAATGTTCTCCCAACCTCTTGTTTTACAGATATTGTTTTCTTTGGGGAGAGACTACCAAGTAGGTTTTCCACATGTGCATCTGAGGTGAAAATTATTTATATTTGGACTGTTTTATCTGTTTATTTAATATATGACAAAGAAAAAAATCCACATGACACAAGACACTTGTGTATAGCTTAAATCTCTATTTCAGGATTTTAAGGCATGTGACTTACTGATTATAATGGGCACCTCACTAACTGTGCAGCCTTTTGCCTCACTTACAAGCAGGTAATTGAAATTTACAGAAAACACGCCTACAGCAGATATGCTTATAATGAATTCCTGCTTACAAGGAAATGTATTCCCTCTATATGTAGTTTTATATCCCTTTATAAACTTAGTGGGTAAATCATTATCAGTCTATAATAATTTTTTTGTTCTTGGTACTTTACTGTAAGTGTGTATTACTGTATTTCAAATTTATTTTTAGAATATTTAATTATTTTAATGTTCGGAGCACATATTCTAGCTGATGTGAAAAGAATTTGGGCTACAGTAAAAATGAATGAATTAGCGATCAGTTTGGAGTTTTAAGCTCATTAAAAGATTATACATGTACACCTTTTTTTAGATGCCAGAGGCATCGCTCCGAGAGCTAGAAATTGCCTTTGAATAGGCAGATTTTTCTTGATTTTTGATCACTTTTAATTTATTAAATTTCGAGAATAGAAAATGACAAAAAAAAAATTCTTTAATACTGTAGATTCCTTATTTTTAGCGAGTACTTATTATCGCGAATGAGCTCTTTAACAGCAAATTGCGAGAATAATAATTCGCGAATGGACGGATGATCAAGAGATTTTACATAGATTTCAGCACCGTAAAAATAAAGGCGAGTAATTTTAATTCGTGCGTGGTGCTTCTCGCGAAATTATGCAATAATTACTTCCACGCATATATTTAGGAATTTACAATAGTTTGAAAACCGATTAGATCTTATTGTTCATTGTTTCCTACATAGCTATTTTGAAGAGGACTAGCTGACTTGAAAAATTTATTAAACATGTTAAAAGAGCAGTTTTTCTTTTGCAGTTTTTGATTGAATGTTGACACTCAGGGCCATTCTGTGCTGTAAATGTACATGTAGTTGCAATTTAACGATTAGATCATAAGCCATTAAATTTAGTTCTATAAATAGCACAAGGTTACAATCAATGTGGTCTGCAACTTGTAGACATTGTTTCTGAATGTATTTAGACAACACTGTATGATTATTATATGTTATGGAATAAACTAGTTTAAATTTTGTATTAATTGGAAATGTATAGTTTTCAGCTATTGTTTAAAAAAGTATATTGTTTGTAAATGTAATACACAATGAAAAAAAATGATTGATCCGTGTATCTATGTAATTGTCAATATATTTATAAAACTGTTTTTGGTACAGGGTTTTTGATGAAACACCAAGACTGTATATCAACCTAGAAAAAACGGGAACTGAAGCAGTAAGTCCATTCATAGGCCAATTAAGAACATCTCTTGGTTTGAATTGTTTCTAGATATCTTTTTAAAAAGAAATGGAATAAATCCTCTTTAGGGCTATCATGAATTCAAAGCAGTAGAGCCACAATCTTGTCAGAGACTTTCTTCTTCATTTTAGACTAATGCGTTTGCTATGATGCTGTTTGGAGGGGGTTTTAAATTTGATGATGAGGATAATTACAGGTAAGTATAAATAAGGATACAACAAGATGTATTTGTGAAACGCTGATGCTTCTGCAGGTCATCTTATGGTGAGGATGGAAGTTTCTTAAATGCAGTTCAAAGCTCAAGGTCAAAAGGTCAAAATTGTTGGTCTCTGAAGGAAGGTCTTGTCACAAGGAATACACCTGTGAAATATGAAAGTCACAGTACTAGCGATTCAAAAGTTATGGTTAAGGTTAAAGTTAAAGTTTTTAAATAGTGGATCAAGCTCTAATGTCAAGGTTAATTTTTTTTTATACCCATTGAAAGGTCTTGCCACAACATTAAAATATCATTCTTCCCAGTAAGGAAGACTGATTCCAAATAAGGATGTTTTCTGAACATGAACTCCAGTACCTGGTAATTAAACTTAGTCAATTAAGAGTTCTTTAGTAATGAAACCTCTAACAAAAATAAGTTGTTATTTTATTATCTTATTACCCAGTGACCATGAACTATATGATATGATATCGTGATGCCATTTTTACATCATGCAGTAACATTTGTATTTACTCATATGAAATATTCTTTATTTTTAGGGATGTTTTCATGGAGAGTACGTGTGATGATGGATGTTACAAACTGGCCGACATGTTAGGGTGGGGAGTAAGTACTGGTCATTTATACATTCACGTATTTGATATTATAATTCATTAAAAAATAAGAAATTATTTGAAAGAAAACCTTTCTTATTATTTGTCATTGAAACAAGTCTCAGTTTACGTAAAGAATTATATTTTGAAGGAAAAGTGACAAAGAGTTCAGTTGAATGCTATGTTGATATTTATATTTCAAATTTTTATACCGTAGGATAAGCTTCGTGAAAAGGTGAAACAGGAACACAGAAGGATTGACAATGAAAACAAAAGTAACTCAACATCAGCAAAGCAGAAAAGTAGGTGGAATGGTGGACTTGGGGAAAAACTGTAACATTAGATTTTGTTTATATATACAGTTGAACTAAGTTTCCCTTAATATGTTAAGGGAATTATAAAATACAAAAATAATTTTTGAAAATTAATATTTTTTAGGAATTTTAATTCAAACATGAAATAGTACCAGTTCAATACTTTAAAGATTGTGATCTTAAAAATCCACTGTAAAAGATATATTTCCATTTCCAATTGTTTTCTCTATGATAAACACTACGAAAGTGAATCTTGTTCATTTCTCCGTGATTCCTGTGGCAGGTAAATTTCTCTACTGTAATACTATCACTGGCGTATAAATACACTAAAGAAAAATAGATGTTTTATTTAATTATTTACTAAGTAATTAGACATGATATATCTTTTAACAAACAAAATAAATAATGAATTATCTTTGGATCAAAAGCAAGTCACTAGCGCAACGTTATCCACTATCACTGAGGCCTCGCGAGACCGAGAACTCCACTTCCGTAAACATGGTAAACAGCCCATCTGAACAACGTGGAGAAATCGGCACATAGATCTGTACTCTATCATCTGATACACACATCGTCCCTCAGCCATTACCATCCAACTTCTTAAGCAAATCAACTTCCTCTGCTATTCTAACATCCACACAAATCTGTTTCCTGACCATGCTGACCAACTCCTGTTTTATTAACTGCAACATTGCATTCAATATGGCAGCAGAGAAGTGACATATGGCGTAAACATGTGTTCGTGCTTCCGACATCTTAAATCTAGGCCATATTTATAATTAAAGTTAACAAGATTGCTTTGATCATAATTAAAAATTCTTTTGTTGTTTATTTTATTAATGTTGATATTTGACTACTGAAACTAAATAAACAATAAATTTGTTTCGTATTTTTATGGGACTATTTTTTTATAGTAAAATTTTACATCATTGGGCCTCGTGCATTTCAAATCTACCAATTAGATGGTATTTCGATTTATTTTCCGATTGTTATTTCAGTAAAAATGGAAATATAAGGAATCATTGTCTAGTTATGAGACTATGCCAGGGACATCAACAATAGTGGGAAACATGGAATAATTTTAGCATAACAGGCTTTGCCCGTTATGCAAATTATCCCATGTTTCCCACTATTGTTGATGTCCCTGGTATAGTCTCATAACTAGACAGTGATTCCTTAAGTGTATTGTGCTATTTAAAAAATGAAATCATATTGAAAGAATACAGCCAGGTTTAATATTGACAGGTACAGAAATTTTAGAAGAGAGAGAGAGAGAGAGCAATATATTAAATAAAAGAGATAAAAAAAAAGAATTATCTTCTATCTTGAAAATAATCGAAAATCTAAATTATTTGTGATGTCATAGAAAAAAGAATTTTCAATAATCTACTTCCAACCTATAATAATTTCTTTTTGATTCAGATATTTTATACAATATATCATTCATGTACATTTTCTAGAAATTTTCAAAATTTGGCTTATATGAGACAAAAATATACTTTTATTGTATAGAGTGGTTTATATCTTCCATATGTTTTTTTTTTTTTATTTCAGAGTGAATCCAGGCAGTATAGATCAGTGATAAAAAGAGGATTGTTTAAAAAGAAAGGCTGATTCTGTTCCTAAAATCATCACACTTCTTCTCTTCTTTTAAAAAAGAAAGAAAAATAAAATTTTCATTTTATGACATAGATGTTTATTTATTTTGTGAAATATATGTATGTACTTATGAATTCAACTATTGTATTACTGTACAATAATGAAAGTAATTTTAGGGATGCTAAATTTTTTTTTATTTGGAATTTAAAATATTTTACTTTCATGTGATAGAACACATGATATTTGTAGTATAGTGAAGTATGATAATGTTTTAATCATTTTGGAATTTATGACCCCTTTTTGAGGTTTTTCTTGACACTGACTTGATACAGATGACCTAACTATTTTATTCTTTTTGTTTTACAAATCTTGTAACATACTGGAACAATGTATCTCATTGTGGAATAAATGTATACCGTAAATCTGGAAATTTTTACGTCGATTTTATTTTGCGAATTTGGGTCAAAATTCTGTTGATTAATTTTTACGTTTCAAAATTTTGCGAATGACCTCTGTTTTGTTTACATTTTCTTATTGGTAATTTATTTTTGCGAATGCAATGAACTCGCAAATTTGCTAAAAATTTATCTACAGCAAAAATTTCCAGATTTACGGTACTACATGTACAACTAACTATGGATATAATAGCTCAGTTTGAAAGATGTAAACTGTAATTCTGATCCTGTTTACAAGTTGTTACTTTTACAAGAAATTGTAAAACTATTGTAAGACACATATTAATCTATTTCTGAACTTGTTTATGAGTTGTTACTTTTACAAGACATTGTAAAACTATTGTAAGACACATATTAATCTATTTCTTAACTTGTTTATGAGTTGTTACTTTTACAAGACATTGTAAAACTATTGTAAGACTTGTATTAATTTATTCCTGAACTTGTTTACAAGTTGTTACTTTTACAAGACATTGTGTAAAACTATTGAAAGACTCATATTGATTTATTTTTTTTATATTTTTAAAGAGTTGTTACACGACATTGTAAAAAATGTTGTCATGCTGTTATTTATTTCATTTTTTATAAACATATGTTGTGTTGTTAAGTTGTTACTTGTTTTAATTGTATAGTTGTCTATAATTATCCTTAAATCCTCTCTTGCAATAACCAAGTAATGGTAACCCCCTCCCCCCCCCCCTCAAAAAAAGCTACCAGGTATATTTGTGAAAACACTTCTGTATTCCAATGTCTTACAAAAAGCATTGTACATGACGTCATCTGTATTGCATTGTTTACACCATGATGTTATAGTTTCAATTCCAGACATGCTTCTAATTCTTTTTAAAGATAGCTTGTTTAAGATTTCAAATGTATATCTATGTTCCTGTATGAATGAAATGCATGAACTTTGTCTTGTAATATCAGCATTATTTAGACTAAGGTCTAATAACATGATAGAGGGCTGCAAACTTAATTAACCTTCTTCATGTTTCCTTACCCTTGTCAAAGATTGCTTATATTTCAAGACAGTTAACATGCATTTTATAATTATTTTAATGTATACTAAAACTAAGTAGGACAATCATGAATAAGAGTTTTTTTTTATGTGTATCGTTCCCTGTAGTAGTTCATTTTTAGCTCTACTTGTAAGAGACCAGAATGGCCTATGTGAAAGTAATGTGTCTGTTATACATCCCACTGTCTAGCTCAGTCTGTGAATAATTTTTGAAATAATAGACAATAATTATATAAATTGGTTTTTTATTTCAATAAATAATGGTGCCAAGGTTACTTATAATAAAGATTTCTGTGAAATACTTTCAAAATGGTACTTTTCCAATTGTTTTGGTCTGATTTCACCGATGAATGATATTTCCTTGGTTATTATGAATAGAATTTTCTGTGAAATACTTTGTAAATACTACCCCACCTACAGTTTTGGTCAGATTTCATTTTAAGTTTGCACTGCCCCATGTCACAGAAGGTGCTGGCACAAAAAAGATCTCTTTTGTGCCAGCACCTTCTGCTTCTCACTGCTCAATTGCCCCAAGCGCAGAGAATAAGTCTAAATTTGCTGTCCTCCACCGGCAATTCTATTAATTGCTGTTGAAAACTTCGAGTCCAAATGCTACTTTTCTCTTCCTTTGTTATAATTAGTACAAACCAGTAGAGCTACAGTGTCATCAGAGACTACTGTTTGTTGATGAATTTTTATCAGGCAACTGTGGACATTGTTTGAGTGATGAAAATATGAATTCCATTAACATAAACATACTGGTACATAAATATCACATGTGCATTATGTATTTTTAAACTTTTTAAGATTGTGCTATATTTATGAATGTAATTCTTCATGTCCAGAATGTATTCTTTCTTTTAAGTGCAATGCTGATATGTTTTAAATGTAGAACAGATTGATTGAAATACAGTGTATTATACAGTGTATACTGATTACCTTTTCATACTATTTCATATTGGAAGGATAAAGGGAGAGGGGAACTTGAAATAATCAGAAATGTGTTTGAGATCTTAAACTGATTCTTTCACTTCCTGTACAAGAATTGGTTGTACACAAAAATATCTCTATTATATACAAGATGATTACATTCTAAAATTAAATTTTATTCTAAAAAACATGCATACTATGTAAAATATATGTGTCATTTGTGCTTGGAAAAACATGCAACATTGCAGAGATAGAAAAAATGATATAAAATTTTTGATTATACAAAAAATAAAGTAAATATGACTTTTTAAAAATACATTCTGAGTGTATTATCTGTTAAATGTATTCATCAAATGATATCTTTCTTTCAATCACCGTACGTATAAATAAAATGTTTGATGGTGTTTAGTGCCCCCTTTGCTCTGGATTTCTAAGAAGTAAGTAACCTGTTGCCTCAGCACGACTCAAACTTTCCTGATTATTTTGCTCCCTGTATAACTCTACCAGGGCAGCATCTGCATAGCTCAGATAGATGTTGACAAGCTCATCTGGCCTCACCACATCAATGGCTACACTCTCCATGAGGGCTTTTGCTTCAAAACCAACACTTAGAGCCCCAGTTTCGGAGTACAGTTGATAAGTTCTAGAATTGGCAAATGGACGCACTGATAGTTCCCCCAGATTCAGGTCATGTCCTGTGGCAATTTGACCTCTTCTTCCACGTCTTGGTACGTTGACAAATGAGTTTACCAAGTCTCCCCTGATTCGGGCTCCAGGAACTGCCAAGTTTGCCTGCGAGTAATGAACCCTATCAAACAAAGCTCCTAAAACTTCTTGATAATGTCTTCCCCTGAGATAGGCAAAACAACAGCCCAGGCATTCTAGATCAAAATCGACAGCTAAGTTATAGTTGTTCACAAAGTTATGTCCATCTTCTGTCACCCCGGATTGTCTGTTCCTGTGGTCTGGATTGCAGTTTGGATGATGTTCAGGCGGCTGAGCCATTTTACCTGGACCATGCAGTTCTGAATAAATGAGGAAAAAAATGTTAAAATTTGAAGTTAAAATTCTTTTAAAAATAAAGACAAATTCTTGACTAATCAGATTTTTTTTGAACCAGAAAGGAAGATATATGTGTAGACCACTTCTTAATTGGACAACCAAATTGGACAAATTAAGGACATAAACAAATGTTAGCTAGTACAAGTAAGGTGTTATGCACTTCCCTTGATGCATGCATGCATTTATGTTACACATCTTGGCAAGATTGGTTGACAACCAGTATTATCACTTTTTGTACTAGAACTCTACTAATTAATTCTCCGAGGGATAAAACATGCAAAGGAGGAAGTTGCTCATATACATGTATAAGAAATTACAAAATGGTACATGTATATGTATATACAGGGCATTCCATGAATATTTTAACAAATTGTTTATCAACTAAATGCATGGTAATTACACAACAAAAACAACCTATACTCTTTTTAGAATGAGCAAAATTGGTTCCGTGTAGACTGGCCACTAGAGAATGCCACGTGTCAGGGCTACAAGTTCCGAGATATCAAAAGTAACATCAGGCTCCGCACTAGAAAGCATTCGTAATTCCGGATTAAAAATCCTTGTAATAATCTCTTATTAAATTTGACCTTTCAATTACAATATTTATAGTGATTAATAATTATAGGCGTCAGAATAGCAAATGAGAATATATAACTTCCCTCAAAAGACTACAAATTTAAATAGTAAAGCCCTGCTAAGCATCAGATTACATTTGGCCTCGTTTGACTCTTAGGACCATAATTGTTTTTTTTAATTGGTGGATACACCCTTACTCCAGGATATTATACAGTTAGCTTATCTGGTTAATATCCATGAGCAGAAGAGAAAATTCTCAAAGAATTAATGCATTACTTTGATAATCAACAGGGCCCTTCCCTGACCTTAACACCAGAACCCTGGACCCACATGGGTTCACAAAATTCAAAATTTTGATAGAGGCCTTTGCTCATCATAACCATGCACTTAGTTTAAACTGCTAAATATCCAGGAGAAGAGATTGCAGAGTTTATTCAAAGAATTTATACACTTTTACAAGTCAATATTAAAAATAAATTAATGAAGCCCAACAATAAAACCCTTGTCCCATGAAATTCGTAACTGTGGAGGAGGTACCCTTGCTCATCATAATCATGCACTTATTCTAACTGCCTAATAACTAGTAGCAAATAAGAAGATTTTCAAAAGAAATAATGCATTTTCTCTATTTAATATCAAAAGAGTCAAATCCTTGCCATACAACACATAGCCTATTGACCATGAAATTCTAAATTTTGTAAAAGGCACCCTTGCCTAATCATAGCTGTGCATTTAGCTTACCAGTATATGCTTAATACCAAGAAGGAGAAGATTTTCAAAGAATTAATGTATTCATAATCAATCCCCCCCAGTCACAACAGAACCCCTTACTAATTAAGGGGCCATAAAAATTATAATTTTAAAAGAGGCACCCTTAATCACCACAATAATGCATTTAGTTTGGTTGCTAAATACCCAGGAGTACAAAGATTCAAAATGAAACAATGCATTGCATTTTCCCAATAATCATAATCTTAAACCTCCCACTCCTCCCCATAGCACCAAAACACTTGACCCAGGGGCCATGAAGTTCAAAATCTTTGGAAGAGGCCCTGTTCTGATCAAAACTATGCAGCTGTATTCTTCCAAAACACAGAAGCAAAAACATTTTTGAAGAAATAATTCAATTTCACTAAAATAATAGTGTCCCCTCCCTTTACACCAGAACCTCTGACCTAAGGGCCATGATAATCAAAAATTCAACAAAAAAAAAAAAAGCCTCAGCATAACCATGTATAAAGAATATCTACCTAATACCAAGAGCAAAGAAGGTTTTCAAAGAAAATATGCATTTTCACTACATGTACTGGTATTTGATCAATAGAGTCCCCCTCTCATCTTACACCAGGAACCCTGACCCAGGGGCCATGATACATGTATTCACAATTTTGGAAGAGGTACCCTTGACCATCATATGCATACACGTAATTTATCTGGTTTGTATACAGGGGGAGAAAAAAGATGTTTAAAGAATTTATGTAATAATTCACTAATGATCATCAGAGCCCAATCGTAACTCCAGAACCCCTGACCCTGCAGCCATAAATATCACAATTTAGATCGACCCATTGTATGTTTTAATCATAACAACAGTTTCACTGCTTGATATTCAGGAGTAGAGAAGAATTTTTTTATTTGAAAATTTTATTAATTTTAATGGTTTTGGCCCCACCCCTCAGGCCCGGGGGGGGGGGGGGGGGGGGGAGTGACCTTCAAATTCAAAATTTTTGTCCCCCCTTTGCCCAAAGATACTTCAGACCATTTGTTGATATTGGTTCAGAGGTTACAGAGAAGGTCACCTGAAGACTCATGTGTCCTGAAAAACCACAAAATCAGTGGTATGAAAACCAATTTTTCTGTGTCCTAATTTAAGAAAAAAAGAAAAGAAAAAAAATAATGACATGGTTGTTCTTTTATTAAAGCATGAATTGTACATGTAATTGTTTGAAAGCCATGCAATCACATGTTAAAAATTGAAAAAAATTCCAAAAAAACACAAGAATTATTGCTTTTCATCATCTGAACACACTACTTTAAAAAGTTTGATAAATTTAAATAAACATATTTTGTAAATTTGTTTTTAATTTTCAAGTAGTAAAGTAATCCTTTGTACATGTAGTTGCATCATGATATAGTTTGTTCTAACTCATTTTTGCAACCTCTTCGTTAAACGTTTTCATGAATACAGGATCAATTTGCTGGAGTTTAATCATAAATTCATTTCTCTCCCTTTGTGACCATTCTTCAAACCACTGATTAAACAGCTTCATCTGACACTGATATATACTTGGGGGTCTGTCTCGCACATTCAGAGAATGCATTGCATCAAACAGAGTGTCAACATTGCCAGGAACTGCTTTCTCCAACAAGTCTTTCAGAAAATCCCCCTTCTGCAAGGCTGACCAGGTCTGAAACCAGTGTAACGTGCATTGCTGCTCTTTTTCCACATTGGATAATGACATGAGTCTCTTTATACATCCACAATCTCCTTCTTGTCAACTTGTTGCATCACATAATTATTGCAACAGGTCTGCACACTTCTCATTTCATTCTGTAATATACAAGGATATGAAATATGTTACAAATTTTTAAAAGTATTAAATAAATTCTACAAAAGGTTAATATTTACATTGTTTAACCAATCTGCATATTTTGTCCACCTCCCAACCCTTAATATAGTGTCTACAAGCGATAAATTCTCTTGATTTGAATTTTCTGCAACAGACAATTCAAATCACAAAAAATATACGAGGGTTGTCCCAAAATTTCGTAGACTGAGCTCATATCTTTTGAAGAAATTTATGTATCTTTATAAAATTTTTAGGGTGGATAAAGCTAGCTGTTGGCAGATAAATTACGAAGTTTTATAATGTTTACTTGAAAACTTTTCGAGTTATAAGATTTAAAGTGATATCGTTCTCTAACACCAGGAGCAATCTGCTACGTCAAAAAATACAAATGTCAACGGTTCAAATTTTTGGAGAAAATATTTCAATTACCAGAATCAAATTCTTAAATTAAACGAAACAGTTATAGTTGTAAATGTGTAAAATCTTAATTACTTCGATATGATCAAACATTAAAATATGTAATCAAAGTATATGCATGTACAGGTATGGAAAAATAATTATATAAAAACACTATATTCTACAGGTTTTTCGCGGGTTTTCTCTAATGGAGTTGCACAATGGAACTCTTGCCCATTTCTTAGCCATGTCTTTTATTTTAGTTACTGTCATTCATTTATACACAGAGAAACCGTTTGAGTCATTTTAAATACTAAGGACGAGAAAAAGTTTCCTAGTCTACCAAATATTTTTGACTGGTACATTTCTGTAAGAGTTAATTTAGGATCAAAACACTTGAACATTGTCCAGTGCGCTGCCTGTGCCAACGCAGCCGCCATTTTTTAAAAAGTCGGATTTCAACCACATGTTTATAAAACGTTATAAAATTCATATTTATCAAAGCACAAACACCAAAATTTGAGGAAATATAGTTGATAAAACAGTATTGATAATTTTCACTTCCATTAAAAAATTACAGGGTAATAATCACTTTTCCGTAGGATTTTAAATATAATATACCAAATGTTAAATGCAACTTTTGGGTATTGCGCCGCCTTCCTACAAAAGACAATGAAATGTGTCTTTAAAATTGGAATAATTTGTGTAGTTACTTCATATTTGTCTATAAATTTATTAGATAGTGTTGGTTTAATCTATATACGAAGTTTCATTAATGTATGACATAGGGTTCCTACAAAACAACGCTTGTCTACGGAATTTTGGGACAACCCTCGTACAGATATACTAGGTTAAGGAATATGTGTAGACTTACATGATTTAGGGAGCGAAAGGTATTTGATTGACAAATGCTGGAAAGTGGAGGAATTATCCCAAACACGTACTGCTCAAAAAATCTTGCACCGTAAATTGCACATTTTTTGCATTACAGGATCTGTATTAGCGTTATGGTCAATGCGCCTAATATATACAATGTAAAACTATAATGCTACAGTTCTGCAACTAGGTTCTATTATTAACCCAGGGCTAGGTTCTTGTTTAAAGAAAATTTTACTGTATGCACAGGGGTACAATCCTCTACTGATTTTACATTTATACCTACAATGAAGCGCACTGAAGTGGTAAAATTTTCCATTTGACTGGAATGTTTTGGGCTATTTAGAATGATGTCCATTTCTTTAGAAAGGAAAAATCGGTCAAATGGTTCATTCGAATAACTGTAGAACAGGTATGCCATAAATATAATAGCCAATCAAATTGATGGTCTCATACATATAAACACCGAGTAAGCACGTGTTCGACCGATACCTGTATTATGTTAACTCCAATGAAGACATGATAAATTCATAATATGGACAGATTTGTTACATTATGTGTTTTACAAAAGCGGGAACTCCCTAACTCTCTTATAATTTAAAAATCTCCATTTCTAATTCGATGTTGCTTGTCACGAAGAGTGGGGTGGCCTTAAACATTAATTACGACGTATATTTCTTTTTTGTTTCTAAAGAAATGGGCGTGTCATAACTTTATAATTGACATTCAAAACATGACTCAGAACATTTCATCTAAACGAAAAATTTTGCCACTTCCATGCGCTTCTTTGTTTTTTCAATTGCTTGATGATTACCACCCCCACCCCTTCCTTTTTAAAAAATCATCATTTAAATGAACATACCCTATGTTATAGAAGTCATACTTGTTTAGACATTATATTCTTTTGAACTGAAATAGTACAAGATTATTGTTGAGACTAATAACGCATCTTTTCCTTGTTTAATATTGTTAAATAGTTTCATATAACTTTATACTTTTCTGTTCTGGGCTCTAGCCTAAATTACGAATAAATGTTCTGTTCTGTTAAAACTTAATTGAATTCCCCTCATGTATGATTGCTTCGTTGATAAGTAAAATACAAAAATTTAAGAGTTTTTGAATTATAGCTTACATAACAACGTGTTGACGTTTTGAGACCAACAGCTTGTGTTTTTCAAAGAGGAAATTCGGGAAAATGTCCTACTCGATTTGCTAATAATTTTTACAAATTATTTCTTTGCAAACATTTAACACTTTGTTAAACTCATTCTGTAGAAAATCTTATTAAAAATACAAGTAATTCAGACTGTTCTTTTGTTAACAGTTTTTAACAAAATTATATACTACGGTTCAAGTACGCTTTTAAAGCGCCACCTTATTATAGTTTGTAGTTTGGGTTTCATATCATATATTTAAAATTTGAATATCAAATGAGCTGAAACTTTATTTTATATATATTAATAATCTGCAACATCATTCTTGTGAGTTTTTGCTAAGTGTATCAAAAGAGATCGTGTTGAAAAAATATTTCGCTACTGGCATGGTAGATCTTGAATAGACCTAAATCGTGTCGGTTTTACTGAAGAAAATACTTATCTCAGAAGGTTGTTTTTATTTGTAGATCTAGTATACCAGTTGCATACACATGAGGACTATGTTGGAATAACATTGATTTTATACAGCTGTGCGCTCTTCTCCGCGCCTGCATGCCTTCGTGGCACAGTGGTTTTGCCTGTGGATCAAAGAGTTTGTGGCAGACAAGTCGACGTTCGAATCCGTAGGTGAGAGTTATTTTTTTTTAATTTGGGTAAATTAAAAAAGTTGCTTTATTTTTTGAACTCTTACTGTGAATCTCATTTTCATTTAATAAAACGACTATATAACTTGTATAGAACAGAACAGAACAGAACATTTTATTTCTAATTTAGAGCCCATAACAGACAAGTATGAAATTGTTACAATAATAAGGAAAAGATAAGATGAAAAAAACAATTATACAATTAGCAGTTTTAAATGATTTCAACAATAATCCTTATATACATCAAATATGCATGTATGTGTAAAAGACTAATGGTACTATAACATGTTATCATTTATAAATTTGCACAAAATTAAGAGTTTCCATCTTCTGTATTGTGTTTTTGTTCATCATCTAAAGCTGAAAATAGTGGAAATTTATGATTAATTAACTGAAACATTTCTTTTCTTTGATGATCAAATTTTTTACATGCTATTAAAAAATGAGTTTCATCATCTATGTTGTTAGAAAATCTAAATAAATTTCTGTATTGGTAAATCTTCCCACTTTTTGTAATCTGTGACAGGAAATTCTTAATTTACATAAAGATTTTATGTAAAAATTTTTAACAACTGATAAATAATTCTCATAACCCCAATTTTGTTTGAGTTTCACATGATAATTTGCCATTGTGTATATATCCATTTCCTCACATAATAATCTAATAAAATTTTATGACAGAATGACTTAAATTTATATTTTCCATAACAAATAACTTCATCTTTAATATTCAGTTTTTCTTAATTTCTGTTAAATGCAAACCATGAGTTCTTTCCATTCGCAAAAAGCTTTTTACTGATTCATAGGCATCTTTAAAATTTGAAATATCAAATTCTCAAATCTATACCAACTTTTAATCAACAACCTGGCAATATCATAATGCAGGGGGAACCTTCCCATTCAGACAGTACTGCAAAATTTGTGCTTTTCTTATGAGTTTTTGCAGAATTTAAGGTGTATTCTTTCACAGGGTAGATTTTTAAAGCAATCTTCAACTGTTAAATTTTGACTGTTTAGGAATTTTTTAAATATTACTTGCACCCCACACCTCTGCATTATACAAAAGAATTGGTTTAATGGTAGAGTCAAATACATGTATACTGGTTTTAATCCCAGGGTTCAAATCAATAAAATCCTTTCTTAATTTATAATATGCTTTTAATGCTTTCTTATAAAGCTCTAATCTTGCTACATGAAAGTTTACACTCAGGTGAAAGATATTTGTAGCTGGGCACACATTCTATCATATTATTTTGAAATATTAGTTTTTGTGTAATATTACGACCAGCCTTATTAAAGATCATGACTTTTGTTTTTTGAATGTTTACCTTTAAACACCAATCAGAGCAATACTTTTCAAGTTTAGCGAGTCTTGCTTGTATACCTTTAGCTGATGAGGATAAAATAACAATGTCATCTGCATACATTAAACAATTAACAGTTTGTGTCTGAAGCGATACTTCATCAATACATGAATCTAAATATGAAGGAAAGTCATTGATAAATATTTTAAATGTGGAGGGGCTCAAAGAGTTTGTGGCAGACATAGCTATTTGAAATGGATCTGAAAGAATCTCCGTTTCACACATGCTTGACTATTCTTATATATATTTTTTTATAAAATTTGGGTAACATTCAAAAAAGTTTTATTTTTAATCTCTTACTGTGAATCACTGTCATTTTGATTTAATAACAAAACATGCATAGACTTACATATTTGTCAATTAGACATTTTAGAACAAATAGGTGATATTAGTACATGTACAATGTTTTCATACATTAATTGCTAATATTTAATTGTGCAGGTGAAATCTTGACTCATGTCAAGTACAGGGGTGTGCACCCACTGTGGGTGTACGGAGATTGACAAGGATCCGGCGAGGGGTGACGCTGTCTGTACAAACTGTGGCTCTGTTTTGGAGGATCAGATAATTGTGTCTGAAATCCAGTTTGAGGAGCATGCTACTGGGGCGTCTTCAGTGATCGGACAGTTTGTCTCTACTGATGGTATGTATGTTTTACTGTAAACATGCAAGTCCTAAGACTTGTTCTACTTTCACAGAGAATAGGTACCTTAATATTTTTAAAATACAAGAAATAATACCTGAAATATCAATCGAGCCAATTTACGCATGTGAGCAATATGGCCCATTGGCCTTTTTTGGAGGATGAAGACTAAAATTATTATAAAATTTACCTGGAATTCTAAAAATTTTACAAGTGTAAATGATTATCTGTTTAATAACTTTAAATGTTAATTTGACTTTTTCAGGCTCCAAATCACACTCTTTAGGTATCAGTTTTCCTCATGGAATGAAAAGAGAATCTCGAACAGTTACATTTGATAATGGTAGGTTGTTTTCTTTTGATTAACCATTTCAATGTGCAGTCTTTTCACTTTGTATCAAGAAGTGAAAACATTTCACTTGGAGGATTTCGGAAGTGTCCCTAATAGTGGAGTGAAGTTCATAGGGAAGGTTAATACCCCCCGTTTGAAAAGAGGGAGGGTATATAGTGATCAGGATATCCATCCGTCTGTACATAGGTCTGTCCATTACCCATCTCTTATCTTCAACTCCTCTTATACCATTGAATGAAATTTAACAAGACTTTTATAGAATATTTTTAACATGATGCCTTTATGCACCTCATATTTTACATTTTGATTGGACATAAATTTCAGGTTTCCCAAAGCAAATATGGACACTTCATTTTTAGACGGGGTCAGGTTACCCCATCTATTACCAAAGGTAGTTTACTTTCTGTCGATCAAAACAGAAGCTGTGGGGAGAACACAAGAATTAAATCTACTCTATATGAAAGAGTGCAGACTCAGATTGTTTTGATCAAAATACAACATTCTGTATCAAACTGAAGAAAGTGATATGAACTATTTTGACAATTTGTAATCAAATTAAGGGAAATTAATGAAGCATTTTGAAAATTTAGAACTGAAAATTTTGATTGTTTATCACACTAGTCAACAAAGTGCTTTCCTGCATAGTATTACAACTGCATATGCACCATCTATCATTTACTTCAGGAAAAATATTAATTCGGACCCGGTGAAATTCGGATAATTCAAAAAGGTTTCTTGACTTAGCAATTATTGAATTTTCTACTTCAAAGTAAATGAAAAACGTGAAGATATATTATTCAGAGTTTTGTTTTTAGCATGTTAATAAAAAAATAAAGTTGTTATCAGAACTCTATTAAAAGATCACATTTGTGAAATTTAGCATGTAGATTATTTTAACCCCGTCTTTCAGTACTGTCTCAGTACTTTGATTTCTATAATATTGAAGGGTACCCATCTCTTTTCCACAACTCCTCTTATACCACTGAATGAAAATGATATTTTCAGATATTATTCCCCCCACTTGAAAAGCGGGAGGGTATATAGATCGGGATGACCATCCCTCTGTTACGCTTTGGGGTACCCAACATATTTTGGGTTTGCCATAGCAAAACATGGACACTGCCATTATATTCTTACCTGTGACATGAGGGGTAACAGGTTCGTTCGCCCGATCTACCTGTTCGCGGGAGTCCGTTCGCGCAGGGTCCGTTCGCCCACTTCGCCCAAAATCTTGTTCGCCCTATAAAAGTTTCGCCCAATACTTATATATTATATTATATACACTTATATATATATATTAACTTATTTGAAATAAAGATTAACATATAGTTTTATTTCCGTTACGAACTTGGGTTATTTTTTCTCAAACCAGGAACAATGTTTATTTAGTCTTAATTTATTTTTGATTTGGCATTTATTAATGATTTAGTGTTTGCACTGTAGTTAATTAGATGACTAATATCAATGTTAATTGTGGGGATACACCCGTGTTGTTTTTACGAATTGGGCTATGTTTTGACAACAATTAAGGGACTGAGACGTTAATAGATCCATTATAGAACTGAGCAGCGCATCCTGAAGGTTTTACCTTTAAAGAATCTCCCTTTGATCTCAAAAAATGAGAAGATGGAAGATGAAAATTCAACAGGCCTGTCAGCTCTTTGATAGAGCATGTATTTAGTATGACAATATGTGAAATGTGCACAATCAGTCAGTATTATTTCGAATGTACCAAAAATGTAAAAAGAAATTTATTATATTATATTCTATATAAAATCTGGGCGAACGGACCCTGTGACATCGGGCAAACAGGTGGGGATATCGGGCGAACATTTTTTAGGGCGAACGAACATGGAACCGACATGAGGTGGGGCGGCTTCTGATTAACATGAGACACAAGTTATTCCTCTTTGCATGTTACCGCAATAAAGAGAGGGCAGTTTCCCATAACAAAACATGGACACTGCCATTATATTCATATAGGAAGTGGAGGTATCATTGAGCGAGCTCAGCGCTCACAGTTCCTCTAGTCATGTCCCCCGCTTGAAAAAAGGGAGAATATATTAAGTGATGGGGATGGCCCTCCATCTGTTGCGTATTGGGGTACCCATCTTTTATCTGCAACACATCTCATACCACTAAATGAAATTTAATGAACTTTCACAGATTCTTTGTTACATAGTGTCATTGTGGCCTCATATTTTACTTTTTGATCGGAGACATATACTGTAAACCAACTTTTATTTGCGTGCGAGAAATTTTCGCGAAGTTCGCGAGAGCCTCGTCATCGCAAATATTTCTCGCCGCAAAGTGGTCATTATAGTCTATGTGTCTACTAACAAGAGAACCTAAAAGGCATGATCGCAAAAATTAATCGTCACAAACTAGTTTACCCCTGGTAAATCGTGAAATAAAGTCGTCGCGAATAAAAGTTGGTTTACAGTATTGGGTTTCCCATAGCAAAACATTGACACTTCCATTTTTTTCTGTTTTATTGAAGGGTTCAGTAAAACTTGTTTATAGTACAAACAGTACGGATATTGCCAATTCACTGATAAAGTGAAGTTTACTTGGATCCCCAACTATATAATTTTACGAATTCCTTATATGGATATAAAGAATTACGGATATAACAAAGTAATTTCACCGGTCCCAGTGACTTCGTTATAACTGAGTTTTACTGTACCCATCTCTTATCTGCATTTTCTCCTATACCACTGAATAAAAAATTTAATGATACTTTCACAGATTCTTTATAATATAATGCCATTGTGCACCTCCTATTTTACTTTTTGATCCGACACTTATTTTGAGTCTCTGAGAGCAAAACATGGACTTTGCCATTATAATCATATTGGGGGCAGGGGGTATCATTTAGTGAACTCATTCTCACAGTACCTCTAAGTTTTTTTTTTTATTTGAACATATTTTATTATGTAGCATTGTACTGAAACATGAATGGTTTGAGCAGCAGGCATAGCCTATATGAACCATCTCCATAATATTGATTGAGCAAATTGATTCTCTCATTCCCCTTCATTTTAAAATTTATTAGTTCTGAGCCAGTGGCTGAAAGAGCTAATGCAATGGCCATTAATTTGTGCGGTGTGCATAAACTTTTTAGAATATGGGCCATAACTCAAGAACTCCTTGGCCAATCATTGTCAAGTTTGTCACAGGGTATCTTTGGTTCAAGGGCCCCTGTTTATACTAAAACTAGGGTTGTGACAAAGGGAGATAATCAGGTAAATAAAACCTAAAGTACTGGTTACTAAAACAAAACTTCTCAAGAACCACTGGGCAGATTATCACCAAACTTACATACAAGGATGAGGATATGTTGAAGATTAAAGGCTTAAAGCCTTAAAAGCCTTAAAAGGATGCTTAAGGCATCACCCTGGGGCAAAGGGTATGGTCTCAAGGTCACTTCAAAGTTGACCAAAAATTACACTTTTTTAAAAATGTTGATATTTTGCTTACTACCGGTATAAAGACTTACCGGTACATCAAATTGTGTAAGTTGATTCATCTTAGGACGTCATATCATGTTACTCAAAAGTAGGTCACAGTGACCTACTTTTTGAATTTTTCAGTTGATGCATCTTGAGTCCTCAAACAATGTCAACTACTTTTTGATATCCTCATGATGACCTTTTTTTGAATTTCAAGGCTTTATTTAAATTTACAGGATATTTAATAATAGAGTCTTCAAAAGAAGTGAATTTAGATTGTACAATTTATCAAAAGAGCGATTCAAGGCCCTTGGGACTCCTGTTAACAACTGAACAGATGTAACAAATTACACCAAAATCAAAATTGTTCAACCCTGGTAATTTGCTATTTAAGCGTGTTTTATCATGTCACTAAAATTCCTTCTTTCAGGTCGAAAACGAATTCAACAGCTTGGAGTTCAGTTGAAATTGAATCAGCACTGCATCGATACAGCTTTCAACTTTTTCAAGATGGCTGTAAACAGACGAATGACACAGGGTAGAAAAACAACTCATGTCATAGCAGCCTGTTTGTACATTGTGTGTCGAACAGAAGGCACACCTCATATCCTTCAATGCTAACAAGTCTACAATAAGCACTACATGTATTTTATTTCCATCTACATAAATTAATATAATTTCAGGTATTTCCATCCTCCAGTGATGTCATAGGCTATGGCTAAAATTGTCATTAATGTAAATTCATACCCAGTAGAATATCTTTGCAAGTACCGCGGTAATGCTTTTCAATCGGTATAATGCAGGTAATTGTGAAGTATAAGAAGTAAAAATGTATACTTTTTGTTTAATCAATAATTAGTCTTTAAAAAATGTTGCCAAGGCTAATAACTCTTTCTCAGGTATCTTCATTCAGGCATTTTCTTTGTTGTACTTTTAATAATGTAAAATGGTTTTTTCTGATATTCAAAATTCAATTATATGTATGAAATAACAATTACTTTTGAACTTTTGGCATCAGAATTACGTTTTTTACCAGTTTTTAGCACACCTGAGCCGAAGGCTCAAGTGAGCTTTTCTGATCACATTTTGTCCGTTGTCCGTCTGTAAACTTTTCACATTTTCGACTTCTTCTCAAGAACCACTGGGCCAATTTTGACCAAACTTTGTACAAAGCATCCTTGGGAGAAGGGAAATTTAAATTGTTAAAATGAAGGGCCAAGTCCCCTCACAAGGGGAGATAATCAGAAAAGACAAAAATAGGGTGGGGTCATTAAAAAATCTTCTTCTCAAGAACCACAGGGCCAGAAAAGCTGAAACTTATGTGGAATCATCTTAGGGTAGTGTAGATTCTAAATTGTTAAATTCATGACCCCCCGGGGATAGGGCGGGGCAACAATGGGGAATCAAAGTTTTTACATAGAAATATATAGGAAAAATCTTTAAAAATCTTCTTCTCAAGAACCACTGGGCCAGAAAAGCTGAAACTTATGTTGATGTACCATGGGGTAGTGTAGATTCTAAATTGTTCAAATCATGACCCCTGGGGGTAGGGCGGGGCAACAATGGGGAATCAAAGTTTTACATAGAAATATATAGAAAAAATCTTTAAAATTCTTCTTCTCAAAAACCACTAGGCCAGAAAAGCTGAAACTTATGTGGATGTACCCTTGGGTAGTGTAGATTTTAAATTATTAAAATCATGACCCCCGGGGATAGGGCAGGGCCACAATGGGGAATCAAAGTTTTACATAGAAATATATGGGAAAAATCTTTGAAAATCTTCTACTCAAGAACCACTAGGCCAGAAAAGATTAAACTTATGTGGAAGCATCCTGGGGTAGTGTAGTTTCATGACCCCCGGGGATAGGACAGGGCCACAATGGGGAAAAAGTTTTACATAGAAATATATGGGAAAATCTTCTACTGAAAAACCACTGGGCCAGAAAAGCTGAAACTTATGTGGAAGCATCCTGGGGTAGTGTAGGTTCTAAATTGTTCAAATCATGACCCCTGTGGGTAGGGCGGGGCCACAATAGGGAATCAAAGTTTTACAATGTTGAATCAAAGCATCCTATGGTAGTGTAGATTTCAAATTGTTTAAATTATGATCAGCTGGGTAGGGTGGGGTCACAATATGTATAACAAGGGGGGAATCTGTTAAAGAACGTAATTGTCAAAGCTTCTCAGGTGAGCGATGTGGCCCATGGGCCTCTTGTTACATAATGTTCATAATACTGTTCACTACAATTATACAATTTTTTTATGCAAACATACACTTCTGTTTAATATTGTCTTTCGTCTTAAAAAATATGGTAACATATACATTTTTTTTGCAATTATATTCAGTAAAAATAAATGCAGTTTTTATACTTTGAACCTATAATATTGCAAGGATGGAAGTGCTTAATACAAACTGCTAAATGGAGAAATCGGGAAAAAAATAAGAGGATTATTTGATATTTATTAGGCCTTGACTCTTATTTTTACATATGCTGCTGGATATAAGTGACCAGTTACAGGTATGGATTTCTTAGATTCATGTTTGCTACAGACAATAGTATAGCAAAACTTATTTAGTATGAACACGGATATTGAAAATTCACGGATATAGCAAAGTTATCTTAGATCCCCAACTATATAAATTTAACAAATTCTTTATACGCATATAATGACTTACAGATATAGTGAAGTAATTTCACAGGTCCCAGTGACTTCGTTATAACAGAGTTTTACTGTATCGACATTTCCTCCGGTCAAAAAGGACTTCCATGATATGAATGATTTTACAGCATGAGGATCTTGGCTTCCTGTTTGAGTGTTTGTCAGTGCCAAAAATTATAGAACAGATCAAGTTCACAGTAAATTGAATGATAAAATGAATTCAATAATTATCAGCTCACCTGAGCTGAAAGCTCAAGTGAACTTTTCTTCTTTTTTTTACAGATAAATGTATACAGTTTAGGAAAAACCTACCTCCAGCTCTCCAGAGCTCTGTGTATCAACATCCCTGCTATAGGTAAATACACCAACAAAGTCCCACAACATCCCTGCTATTAGTAATTACAAAGTCCCACAACATCCCTGCTTTTACTTCTGACAAAGTCCCACAACATCCCTGTTATAGGTAATTACAAAGTCCCACAACATCCCTGTTATAGGTAATTACAAAGTCACACAATATCCCTGCTATAGGTAATTACAAAGTCCCACAACATCCGTTCTATAGATAATGACAAAGTCCCACAACATCCCCCCTATAGCTTAATACAGAGTCCCACAACATCCTTGTTAAAGGTAATGACAAAGTCCCACAACGTCCCTGTTATAGGTAATTACAAAGTCCCACAACATCCCTGGTATAGGTTAATTACAGATTCCCATGACATCCCTGTTAAAGGAAATGACAAAGTCCCACAACATCCCTGTTATAAGTAATTACAAAGTCCCACAACATCCCTGTTATAGGTAATGACAAAGTCCCACAACATCCCTGTTATAGGTAATGACAAAGTCCCACAACATCCCTGTTATAGGTAATTACAAAGTCACACAACATCCCTATTATAGGTAATGACAAAGTCCCACAACATTCCTGTTATAGGTTAATTACAGAGTCCCACGACATCCCTGTTAAAGGTTATGACAAAGTCCCAAAACATCCCTGCTATAGGTAATGACAAAGTCCCACAATATCTCTGTTATAGGTAATGACAAAGTCACACAACATCCCTATTATAGGTAATGACAAAGTCCCACAACATCCTTGTTATAGGTTAATTACAGAGTCCCACGACATCCCTGTTAAAGGATATGACAAAGTCCCACAACATCCCTGCTATAAGTAATGACAAAGTCCCACAGCATCCCTGCTATAGGTTAATTACAGAGCCCCACAACATCCCTGTTATAGGTAATTACAAAGTCCCACAATATCCCCACTATAAGTAATTACAGAGTCCCACAACATCCCCACTGTAAGTAATTACAGAGACCCACAACATCCTTGCTAAAGGCAACTAGAAAACTGACCAGTCAGCAAGGGCCCCACCATGGGGTAGAATTAATAGGGTAATTACAAAGTCCCAAAATGTACCTGTTAAGAATAAGCAACAGCAACTATATTCTTAAAATTTCAAGATAATTCCTGAATATTCAAAAACCTGAAAATAATATCCTTGTATTTATATTAGGCAGTAAAGAACAACTTAACATTGAATGTATTTTTAAACAATAATGAAGCCTGTTATATAAAATGCCAGCCTTCAATGAATGCAAATATCATGAAGGCTTGACCTTAACTTCAAACAAACAGCAGTTGCAGACAAAGGTTTTCATTAATCTTAAAGTGACAGATAAAGAAAAGCCTACTAAATTTTCTGCAGCAGGCTAAATAATTAATCCCAAGGGATTAATAGTACCTCTCTCATCATTTTCTTCTAAAGTTACAATAAGAACTTTTTCAGTATTAATGATAGAATGGGGTTTTTATACAACTATCCTAAAAATTAATAATACTCTTGAATTAACATAAAGTGAAAAAAGTAAATAAAAAAATTTTCTTTAATCTATTTCTTGTTATTAGAATTTAGTGAAATCGTAACTATTAAACAAAAATGAATTATAAAAATTTATATTTAAATCCACATTTCAGAATGTTCATAGCATTCCAAATTGACTTAACTTCAAAACAAACTTTATTTACAAACAGAGGTGGTAATTCATTTCAATGTGACAGATAAAGATGATGCTTTGGATTTTCTTCAAGAGGAAAGCTAATTAATCCCAAGGTACTCATAGCAGCATTCAGTTTACAATGTGAACATCTTCAGCAGTTATCTCTCTTTGCCAATGCTTTCGTATATAAAGTTAAGGAATCTATCCCACCACCCCAGCTCCAAACCAGAAGACATAGAGAACCAAACTTAGCATCAAAATATGTATTTCTGCCTACTGAACTATCATACCAAATTTGTACTTGATTGGGCAACCATAAAAATAGTTGCCCATTCATTCTTATACATAGTTAAGGAATCTACCCCACCACCCAAGCTCCAAACCAGAAGACATAGAGAACCAACTTAGCATCAAAATATGTATTTCTGCCTACTGAACTACCATACCAAATTTGAACTTGATTGGGCAACCATAAAAAAAGTTATTAGAAAAAAACAGAAAATTTGTGGACGGAAGAGTCCCACAACATTCATTGCTATAGGTAATGACAAACGGACAGAGTGATTACTATAGGGCACCCGCAAATCCTTGCGGGGCCCTAATTATGAAGTCCCACAACATTCAATGCTATAGGTAATGACAAAGTCACACAACATCCCTGTTATAGGTAATTACAAAGTCCCACAACATCCCTGTTATAGGTTAATTACAAAGTCACACAACATCCCTATTATAGGAAATGACAAAGTCCACAACATCCTTGTTATAGGTTAATTACAGAGTCCCATGACATCCCTGTTAAAGGTTATGACAAAGTCCCACAACATCCCTGCTATAGGTAATGACAAAGTCCCACAACATCCCTGCAATTAGTAATTACAAAGTCCCACAACATCCCTGTTATAAGTAATGACAAAGTCCCACAACATCCCTGCTATAGGTAATGACAAAGTCCCACAACATCCCTGTTATAGGTAATGACAAAGTCTCACAACATCCCTGTTATAGGTAATGACAAAGTCTCACAACATCCTTGTTATAGGTTAATTACAAAGTCCCACAACTCCCTTCTATAGATAATGACAAAGTCCCACAACATCCCTGCTATAGGTTAATTACAAAGTCACACAACATCCCTGCTATATGTTAATTACAAAGTCCCACAACATCCCTTCTATAGATAATGACAAAGTCCCACAACATCCCTGCTATAGGTTAATTACAGAGTCCCACAACATCCTTGCTAAAGGCAATTATAAAGTCCCACAACATCCCTGTTATAGGTAATTACAAATTCCCACTACATCCCTGCTATAGGTAATGACAAAGTCCCACAACATCCTTGCTCCTGATTAATTACAAAGTCTCACAATATCAGGTAATTACAATGTCCCACAATATCCCTGCTATTGGCAATTCAATGTCTCATATCACTTTAGTAGGTAATTACAAAAGTGTCCTAAGTCCCATCCCTTATATTTATAATCAGTGTTTGAAATAACCGTACGCCTGAGACACACAAATTTTGTCGCGGGCAATCAGATTTGCATTTATCAAAGCCTGGCATGACGTGCTAAAATTTTCCACAAATTAAAATTTAGATATTTGATAAATCTCTCTCAAATCAGCTAATGGTATCGGAAGCAAAATGTTACAGGCAAACAGGTAGAATTAGTCAGATTATAGGTTCTACCCAATTTGGTGGAATGATCCTACCCAATTCACATTATTACTTAAATGAATTTTTAAAAGAAAAAAAAATTCTCGGGCTACTCAATTTTTGCCAGGGCTGACAACGTTTACTAGCAGTTAGCCCTGAATGTCTAGCTCTTTTTATGTTGAGTTTCAAACACTCTTTATAATGATAGTTTCAATACTCAAATGGAATGTGACAAGAGTGCAATCTATCACATGTGAAAGATTTTATTGATATCATTTGTAACTAATAATACACAAGACACTCCAACTTGTTACTGAATCATTCATGACTGGCATATAAAAAATTAATATACAACTGACATAATGAAATCCACAGACAAAGCAGGTAAGTCAATGACATCAGCTGTAGAAGATGATTTCTGGGATCTGTCCTCCTTGAACACCTGTCCCATTTGTACTGTCTGATGAACACTGAAACTGAAACGTGACTTTTCCACATTGAACTTCCGTCAGTCCTTCCTGACCGAAGTAGCTGAGCTCCACTCCATCCAACACGGCACTAGCGGTGTAAAACGTGTCAGCTTCTATCTGGATTGGATTTTCAAACAAGACTGCAAAGGTATTGCTTGATCCATCCGAGAAAAACTTTTTGTAGGTGTGTCCTAGAATGACCCCATTTTTCTTTAATTCAATTTTAACTTGATACTCTGCTGCACCATTACTAGATCCATACAAACTGAAGCCTGCTACAAAAATGCGCGTGTCAACAGCAAATTGTATACTGTCACACCGTCCCCTATATCTCCACTGATTACTTCTGTAAGCTGACGACTGAAATCGGTGGCATTTAAATGGGGTTAGTCCAGAACGAGATTTCTTGATGAATTTCAATTCAGGTTTATTTCTGGCCAAATAATGGAGAAAGATATCGTTAGCTTCCTGTAAGGTCAGTATGCCGGATTGTGAAGGTCCGTTGGCATATTCTTCCAAACCCATAGTGGGCATCCTAATGAGGTAGAGAGCGTCCCCCAACACTTTGCGTTTGTTTTCTGGAGTGGTTTCCAGATTTGTTCTATTACACTCGGCCTCTGCCCACTTACAGGCAGCAGTGAACACAGATATTTCACGAGCATTGAGGGTTTCTCGACTAAGGACTGTTTTAAGGGTGTTGATGTCAATTTCACAGAAGCTATCGGAGTGCAGGGCCTCCTCGGCTTGAGCATCAATGACCTCCCAACAACGGTGCATCAGTTCCTGCTCCTCAAACAGTCTGCCCTGGCTCAGAAGAATACAAGCATTTCTGGCACTCAGACTAGTTTCCAAGAAACGCACACAAGATTTTGCTAGATGTGGCACAATGTACTTTTTAGCTGCATATAAAGTTGCCAAAACATTGTCAGGCTCCAACTGAATTTCATCACAGTAGATGTACCTGTAATAAAAGACCTGTACAGTAATTTTTTTGGTGGGGATGAACAAAATTCCATAAATTACCAAAAATTCCTTGCAAATAAAAAAAGTTATGATAGGGCCAAAATTTATTTGAAATGATACAATGAGAGGATTTCACTATTTAAAGGAAGTAACTACAGCCCAATTCTAAGAATCATGGTCTTCGGCTTTCAGTGTCTTTGTGGGTTTTTGAAAAGTAGTTCAAACTTCAAGGTCCTCATAGGGACTTGAGACAATCTTAGCAAAATTGGGTATATTTAAGGAATCACTGTCTAGTTAGTGTCATTTGAACAAACTAGAATGCACTACCTGAGGATGATTTCATATTAGTATCACTAATCATAGCTTTGAAGTACTTGAAAAGAAGATTTTAAAATGTTTCCCTATATATCATGTAAAACTTGGATAATTTGCATAACGGGATTCCACATGAGTTTCATCTTTTCTGGCCCAGTGGTAATTGAGAAGAAGATTTTTAAAGATATTTCCTATATATTCCTATGTAACTATCGTTGATGTCCCTTGAACAATTTGCACACTACTACACTATGACTATTTCCTGGCCCAGTGGTTCAGTGATTCCTTATATTTCCATTTCATTGTGAAATAAAATTGTAGATTTAGTCTTTAGAAATAGACTTTAATCACACGAAGACTTCCATGCCATTGCCAATTCCAATAGTCCTCGCCCACTGACGTCAAACACAAAGGCAGCTGCACGAGATTTACATGCATATTTTGCCTCCTTAGCGTCAGACACACAGAGAGATGCGCACGAGATTTGCATGCGTATTAGGTATCCGTAGCTCCTGACCTATCGACCTGCCTAATTTACATTCCGGCAGAATTATCAAGAAATAAACTCCCCCTAACTTTCAAAGAGTTATCACAGACAAAAATTGGAAATGGAAATGTAGTACACTATATACCCGATTTTGCTAAGTTTGTCTCAAGTCCCTGTGCTCACTTTCAAAAAAGCAGGGGGCAATGACCTACAGATGGACAGACGAATGAGATTTAATGTCCCCTTACCTTTGCGAAAAGCATGGATCGACAATTTTATATACTACATGGGTAAGGTCTGGTCAGTACAAAAAGGATACTATCAAAATTTATTTTATTTACCTCAGAAGATTAAGAAAAGCTCCTGGCTCTACATCAGGAATTTCAATATCTCCAGTTTGATTTGCAAGACCTCCATAAAACATTGCAAAGAAAACCGAGCTTCCCGTGGCAAGGATATACTTATGTGCTGGTACTCTCTGCCGATTTGGACTGGTTCCCACCAGGAAATGGACATCGGCCATCAAAGAATTGTTAAACATTACAGCATTCCTTTCCCTCACCGAAGGAAGGGTAGCTTGCCAGTTAAATTCTGATGAAACCTTGGCTGTGGGCAGTTGAGGAGGGGGTGAGAGGGGAATCTGCCATGACGTTTCTTTCTGACGAACAGGACGCTGCACATTTGTTAATTTACCAACAACAAAGTTTTGTGGTACTTCTTGGTTAACTTCATCGTCTGAGAACTCCCTGTTTTGTTTTAGACAATTTTTAGGCTCATTTTTCTGAGGGCGGTCCATCTGAAAAAAAGAGGGTTTTTTTTAATGTACAGTATAATATTTTTAATTTCGATATCACAATTCAGAGGCAATAACTGGAATTACAAGTTTTGTCAGTAACATTTTTTCCACTTACAGCCTTTGTTTATAAACTCATAATGTCATATCTGATTTATTGTTTGTAACTAAACTAATCACTGATGCATAAGACAAATGAAAAGTAGGCTAACAAATTCAACGTGTACTTTGTTGGCAAACGAGCGAAATGTGATTATGTGTTAATTAGTCGGACAAATTGTTCAAAGCTTATTCATATATTAGGAGAAAATTTTACAATAAGGGTTTTTAGAAAATTGGTAAATTATCTGTAAGCCCGTTGGACGCAAATAATGCCTGAATCTCTTGTCGAGACGAAATTTATCACGTTTCAATTGTATCCTGCGAATACTATTCACTGCGTCTTAACCATTCGTATATGAACGTACTATGAACAACTTATAATCAATCAATCCTACCTCAAAGTTTCAAAGAATCCAAAACAGCACCAACATATTTTTTTGTTTCTTTACATGACGTCACACCCATGAACGATAACCGCTGGTGCAGGTGCTCGACATTCCACGGGAGACAACTCGAACCAAATTTATTACTATGTCAGCATGCAGTCAATATTAACTAATGGAAGTTTTTATATTTACAGCTACTACATTACCCTGTGTAATTAAATCTCATGAAAAAATATTTTATTAACTCTGATATCAGTAACGAGTTCATTAATATTTATACAAGTGAACACCATGAAGAAAAAAATAATATGTAGGCCTAGTGTTATATACAGAAAAATTAATGTATTTGTTTAAGGAGGTTGGTTTCTTGAAAGCTGTTATCAAAACTATTGAGAATTTTTTGTCAAGCATATTTTTAGAATCTACACACATAGCTTTAAAAAAAATTCAAAAACCAAAATAATGGAGCAATTAATTTGACCTTTGAATAGTTTCAAATTACTTTGCATAAAACCAATTATTTGACCTTTCTGAACTCCAAATTTTTTATTTTTCTGGTGTTAAAAATTTAAAAAGCAATAAAATTATATAAAAGTAAGATATTTTTTTCTGAATCTTAGCACAGTGGTTGAAATTATCTTATATATTCAGAAAATAAAATAAAAAGTGGGACCCAGGGAGTCTCTGATGTTAATTTTTAAGATATTACTAAAATAGTGCTAATTTTAAGCTTAAATAAATGGGCTAATTTTTTCAAGGACTTTCATGATTTATTTGCCAAATATGATGATAGAATTCATGCAAGTTAATTTAATATATAATTTAGGATTAGCATAGAACATTTCACTGCACCAAATTACTCTGTGGATGTGCAGGGTGCATGTATAAATAGGAATCCGAACTTAGCAATACTGAATACTTTGAAAGAGGAAAAATTGAACTTATTTTCTAAAAAAAAAAAACCTTTGCCACAAATAAAGTTCCTCACTAAAATGTTTTTAGTATGGCATTATAGAATCCAAATTTATTGTAAGAACTAAAACATACTGTTGAATTTTTTAGATAGAGGTCAAGACAAAAATCTGCTGAAAAGCTGAGGAGGAAACCTCGTTAGATTTTATTTTTATTTTTAATTTTCCAGATCCCTGTTTGTATATTCCACGATTTGCACACAAGCTGGAGTTCGGTGAGAAAACGCATGAGGTTTCCATGACTGCACTTCGTCTTGTATCTCGGATGAAGCGAGACTGGATGCACACAGGGAGAAGACCCTCTGGACTATGTGGTGCAGGTGAGTCTAGATTGTATTAGAAGCGTGGGGACATTTTACAGGTGAGTCTAGAATGTATTAGAAGCGGGGGGACATTTTACAGGTGAGTCTAGAATATATTACAGCGGGGGGACATTTTACAGGTGAGTCTAGAATCTATTACAGCAGGGAGACATTTTACAGGTGAGTCTAGAATCTCAGTATTACAGCGATGGGACATTTTACAGGTGAGTCTAGAATGTACCGTATAAGCAGAAACAAAGACTAAAATTATCGTTGTTTTCACCTTTTTTGAAATAATGTTGAAAGATAACTATATTAATTCAAGTAACTTTTCAAAATATTCAATATGCAAATATTTTAAATTCAGCTAAATTACAGATTATATGGTCTGAGTTGTTAATTTGTCTTTTGTATGATGTGGCCCAGGTTTTACTCACTAGGAACTTTTTTAAAAATAAAATATATACAGACATGTAGTTTTTGCCTATGACCTATGAGGTACAGAATAAAAGTATAAATTATTACTTAGAGTCTTATAGAAATGTAGTTTCTGCTCATGTTTTTCCAGACTATTTTTTTTACATGTTAATCTTAGATAGAATAGTCTTTTTAAAATATTTCCCCCTTTGGTCAAAGGTTCAGAGCTGAGTGGTGCAAATTGAGTCCAGTAATCTTAAATAAAATCTAATGGTTTCACCCATTGCTCATGATCATCTTGCAAAATGCAGAGGACTAGAAAAGTTAGAACTACTTAATTCCTGTAATAATCAATGTACTAATGATTTTGTTGATGGGTCTAATACCATTTTTGTGCCATGGATCTAATACCATTTTTGTGCCATGTTTATTATATATTATGAATTCTACATGTCTCCATAAGTTTTTGCTCCTGGATATCTACCCCCCCCCCAAAAAAAAAAAAACCCAGACTTTTTAATGAGCTGTGTCAATATTTGAAAATTATCTTTCTGGGTTATGCCTGCATGTTTAAGACTAGATTCAAAATGCACAAAATGTTTAAAAATTTTCTTTACATCTGGATAGTTAGAGAAAGTGCAAAATTTTTAAGGAACTTTCTTTTGTTGCATATTTTTAAAACCAATCACTGAGATTTTAATGCATTCAGAAAATTAAAATTGAATAAAATGTTAAATATATTCTCTCTTATTTCAGCTCTTCTTGTGGCAGCTAGAATGCATGATTTTTCAAGAAGTGTTAAAGACTTAATAAAGATTGTTAAAGTGTGTGATACCACCATTAGGAAAAGGTTTGTATTTAAACATTGTTTTCTCGGTGTTACTGGCACTGAAGAGGCAGCACATTACATGGTAGCTACCTGTCTGTGTGTCTGTTAAGGGGATCACAGGGAATCCATTTTTTTTATCATTTTTAAACTTTTAGCAAAGAAAAAAAACCAGTGTAGGCTATCATATGCTATATAAACCAGACATTAGGATTTTATGTTTCCAGATGAAAACAAATTTGAAAGATGGGATAGAATCTTCTTACTTTCATGATGAAGATTTTTATTACCTCAGCAGAGTATGTCCTACTGTGTGTTTTGTAGATTGACAGAGTTTAAAAACACTCCCTCAAGTCAGCTGACAATAGAGGAATTTCAGACTATTGATCTAGAAGAGGAACAGGACCCCCCTTCTTATACAGAGGGGAAAGCCAAAGCACTGAAGGCAAAACAGCTACAGGTATACTTAATGTAGAGGAAGAAAACTAGTAATCAACAGAAATATCACACTTTGGTCATAGACACTGAAACACTCAACTGCAAAAGGCCTTGAAAAGTATGTACCAGAAATAGTGGCCCAAAGATTGAGATCATTTATCCCCCCCCCTTCTTCGGAAAAGAAAGTCTGTTGGTCAGTCAGTCTGTTGGTCCACTATAAACAGTTATTATTCATTTTCTATGCAGAGATTGCATGTACTGAAATGAAATTGGATATACAGATTTATCATAGGTATGTCTAGGTCAAGCTCTGTTTTGTGTATGATTGAGCAATTTTGGACAGAGTTTAATGCCCCTTTTGACTTAGAAAAAATCCAATTATTGGGGGGGGGGGGGCATTTGTATTTAAAAAAAAACATCTCTAATTTTAAACTACCTGGTAGTATGTAGATGCAAAAGCAGTTGTTTATAACAAAATATCTAATAAGTTTAAACTTATCAACTCCGCCTCTTCAAAGCATTCAAAACATTTGGAATGTCTTGACTGATGTTACATAGCATTGTATATACATTTTGTAACAGAGTTTGAACTGCCAATCTTTTAACAAAAAGCATTTAAGCAATCATCTATTTGAAATTTCATCAAAGCAAAGGCAAGTTTCTTTTAAATTTGTATACTCTTGTTAGGCTGTATTACTGGTAGGTTGTTATACATAAAATACATGTAATTATTTTAATTTCTGTAATTCTTTAAAATGCTCAATAATTTTCACATGTACTATTGAAGATTGAACAGGCCATGTTTCCACAAATTGAATCAGAAATGTCTGACCTCCAAAAAGAAATAGAAGAGGGCTTGGTTCCTGCTAAACCTCGAGGAATCTGGGCAGCCTATGCAAGTATGACCATGAGATACAATTTCCACTAAAATGTCAAAATTAAAATAAAGTCATCAAGTGCTCTGTTACTGATAGATTACTGTAAACCAACTATTATTTGCATAATCTTTTATTCGCGATTCTTCAATTTGAAATCAATCCACGACGATTAATTTTCATGACTGGGGAAACATTCTCTACGAATACTTGAAGAAAATGAATGGTTCACGGGGTTTAATGTGAGTAGGTCACAGAACTTGCAGATATTTCTCGCACTCAAATAAAAGTTGGTTTACAGTAAATGTATAGACACTTCCAATATCACTGCTTTGTCATTTAGATTCATTTCCAGTTAGATGCTTTGCACTGGAAAATTGTTCTTCAATAAGCCTGTGAGGTGTTTTTTTTTCTGTTTAAGATGCCTCCAGTTCAGCAGATCTGAGTGGAGAAAACTCACGCGCCAGCTCGCCTGACATGGCTGACAGCGAGATAAAGAATGTCAGTGATTTCTTAGAAAATGAGACTCTGAAACCGTGCCTGGACGAAGAGGACCTCGTTATCAAAGAAAAACCTCCAAATCAGGAGGCAATAATGATGGAGAAGAAACCGCTGCAGGAAAATATAGGAATGATTGACGTCGTCAAAAAATGTGTTGACAAAGAGGAGGTGGAAGTAGATAGTAAGAGAAAGAATGAAAGCGTGAGAGAGGGTATGAGTTATCATAAGGAGTGAAAGCAGGTGGGAGGATCATAGAATTAGCTCTAGTTCTCTAAATGAGAAAGTGTTCATTGGTAATGAAACAAGAGTTATTTTCTACTTCCTAAAGAGAACAAACTAGATTTTAACAAAAAATAAAATTTAATTACCTTTTTTCCAAAAAGTGGACATGATATATTTTCCCTATGATAACTCTGAGAAAGTTAATTTCAGCTGTTTTAAACTGACCTTGTTATGTAAAATTGTCCCACATAAATACCTGGCAATCCAACCATCCAGATACTGATAGATGTGGTGCATAAGCAATCATTTATTCGATAGTACATGTACTGTACTTGTAAAGTTAGCTTATAGCTTTCAAGTCTTTTATGATTCTAAGACTGCATATTTAAAGAGATTATTTATTTTTTGTTTTAGGTCACCTGAGTCACTCATTTGACCTTAGTTAGAATGATCTTTCAGTGTCTCGGGACAAATCTTCACCACAGTTAAAATATGTACATATATACTTGCAATGTAGCAAATTGGAGCAGATCCATTCCAAAATGATTTTGAAGAATACAAAAGGATTTTCACTAAAAATAACTACCAATTTAATAAAAACAAACCATTTTGAGATTGCATATGCCTTTTATTTAAAAAAAATAATCCATATAAAGACAAAAATTTAAAATTCAACTGATTTTCTCAACATTTTTTTTTTCGCTTCAAATTTACCTGCCATGTTTACATTAGGAACTCTCTGGATTATTCATAGTAAATACACTGAGTTAGTGTTATCGCCCCTATATATTTTGCAACATTGTCAATACACGGAATGAATTCTATCGTTAAACCGGGTCCGTACAACAATATTATTTTAATGATAGAATGTTCTATCTAAGGTGACCTATTTGCTATCTTATTTTGTCAGTTGTCATGCATCAACCTTTAAACATATTCAGCTCCTTTTCTGAAACCACTCAACCAATTTCAACCACTTTTCATATATAGCTTCTATGGGTGAAGGGGAACACAAATTGTGTTGTGAATTTCATGGTCCCTGGGGCCTGAGGGTTGGGGCCAAAACCACTAAAATTAATGCAATCTTTAAAAATCTTCTTTACTCCAGGACATCAAGCAGGCAAACTGTTGGCATGATTGTAATAAGCATTAAGTCCTCTACCAAAATTGTGAAATTCATGGCCCCAAACCCCAGGGTAAGGGGTTCTGGTGCTTCAATTGTTGGAAAGTTGTTACATGATACTCAGGTGACCTATAAGGCCTGTGGGCCTCTTGTTTTAATGATAATGTTTGTAAAGTTAGCTTTAGTATACCTAAGTATTTAGATATTTGTATCTATCTGTATCATAGAAGACATTTAATGTTTATAAAGTTAGTTTTAGTATACCTAAATATCTATTTATAGAGTTAGTTTTAGTATACACTAAGTATTTAGATATCTATTTGTAGCAGAGAAGACAGTGGATGGGGAGTTAGATCTGACAGGGATTGATGACGAGGAGTTAGAGAAGGTTTGTACTATAACATTAATCCCTACCAGAGTGACTGAAAGGTTCAGAGATTGAGTGTTATATTGTACATATTATTTAGTTGACAAAAGAAGAAACAAGAGGCCCATGGGAAACATCGCTCACCTGAGTAACTTGGGTGCTGCAGTTCTTTACCAGATTTCCCCTCATTCTATACCTATCATGCCTCACTACCCCCTTCCCTTTTATGATTTTAAAACTTTAGAATCTACACTACCCCAGGATGCTTCCATATAAGTTTCAGCTTTCCTGGCCCTGTGGTTCTTGAGAAGAAGATTTTTAAAGATTTGTTCTATATATTTCTATGTAAAACTTGGATTCCCTATTGTGGCCCCGCCCTACCCCCAGGGGTCATGATTTTAACAATTAAATATCTACACTACCCAAGGATGCTTACACATATGTTTCAGTTTTCCTGGCCCAGTGGTTCTTGAGAAGGTTTTTAAAGTTATATTTCTATGTAAAACTTGGATTCCCTATTGTGGCCCCACCCTACCCCCCGGGGTCATGATTTTAACAATTTAATATCTACACTACCCAAGGATGCTTCCACATAAGTTTCAGCTTTCCTGGCCCTGTGGTTCTTAAGAAGATTTTTAAAGATTTGTTCTATATATTTCTATGTAAAACTTGGATTCCCTATTGTGGCCCCGCCCTACCCCCGGGGGGTCATGATTTTAACAATTTAATATCTACACTACCCAAGGATGCTTTCACATAAGTTTCAGCTTTCCTGGCCCAGTGGTTCTTGAGAAGAAGATTTTTTAGTGACCCTACCCATTTTTTGTCTTTTCTTGATTATCTCCCCTTGTAAGGGGACTTGGTCCTTTATTTTAAAAATTTAAACTTCCCTTCGCCTAAGGATGCTTTGTACTAAGTTTGGTTAAAATTAGCCCATTGGTTCTTGAGAAGAAGTCGAAAATGTGAAAAGTTTACAGACGGACAGACGAACGGACGACAGACAAAATGTGATCAGAAAAGCTCACATGAGCCTTCGGCTCAGGTGAGCTAAAAAGGTTGACGGAAACATTTTGAAAAGCCACTGTTGTTTAATATGTATGTGCAATAAACTTTGAAACAGAAAAATAAATAGCAAAGAAGAAAATACTTTTCTTAAGAGTAATTTGAAAAGCTTTTAAGTGAACCTGATTAAAATTTCAGCAATTTGTGTTAACTGAGGAGGAGATCAAATTGAAAACAACTTTGTGGATGGCGGAGAACAAAGACTACCTCATTGCTTTGAAAGGTGAGAATTTTTACGCCCTGCCATGAATATGGCCAGGGCATATAGTGTTTGTCATGTCGGTCTTCCGTCCTTCTGTCCTTCCGTCACACTTTGCATTTATCTCAGTTCAAAGCTCAGTTTCAAAGAAACTATCCAAGATATTTTCATCAAACTTCATAGGATGATAGATATTGATGAGAGCTATGCAACTGCTTCAACATTTTTTGACCTTGACCTTTCCTTTGACCTTGACCTCACTTTTCTTTAATGAGTGTTTAGCTCAGTATTAAATATATCATTCAAGATAGTGTCATAAAATTTCATATGTTGATACATACTGATGAGAGCTATTTAACTGCATCAACATTTGACCTTGACCTTTCCTTTGACCTTGACCTCACTTTTCTGAAATGAGTGTTTAGCTCAGTTTTAAAGATACCATGCACAAGCGTTATCAAACTTCATATGCTGATACATACTGATGAGAGCTATTCAACTGCATCAATATTTTTTACCTTGACCTTTCCTTTGACCTTGACCTCACTTTTCTTAAATAAGTGTTTAGCTCAGTTTTAAAGATACCATTCAAGATAGTGTTATTAAACTTCATATGCTGATACATACTGATGGAAGCTATTCAACTGCATCAACATTTTTTGACCTGACCTTTCTTTGACCTTCAACCTCACTTTTCTTAATGAGTGTTTAGCTCAGTTTTAAAGATACCATTCAAGAAAGTGTTATCAAACTTCATATGCTGAAACATACTGATGAAAGCTATTCAACTGCATCAACATTTTACCTTGACCTTTCCTTTGACCTTGACCTCACTCTATAAATTAGTGTCAAACTTCATATGCTGATACATACTGATGTAAGCAATTCATCTGCATCAACATTTTTGACCTTGTCCTTTCATTTGACCTTGAATGCACTTTTATCAAATTGTGATTAAGTCAGTTTTAAAGAAACTATTAATATTTTTTCAACTTCATATGCTGATACATACTGATGAGAGCTTTTCAACTGCATCAACTTTTTTTTTAACTTGACCGTACCTTTGACGTTGACCTCACTTTTCTTGAATTAGTGTTAAACTTCATATGATGATACATACTGATGTAAGCAATTACATGTACTATTGTAAGCATCACTATTCAAGATATTCTGAAATTTCATACACAGATTCGAATTTTCATGTTGCATTACTGTCATTGAATACTGATATAACCTCGGAGGGGCATTCATGTCCTATGGACATATTTCTATTTTTCATACAGTTATGCACTGAAGACATTTCTGCCACCTTAAAATTGTTGTTGAAGATGAAAAACACTTTTTAATTGATTGACCTGTGTATAAAGATGTAAGAAAAAAGTATTCAATATACTAGATGTTATTACCTGATCTTGTTTGCTAAATTCACACAACTTTTTATCTACAAAACAAATCTGTCTATAAATCAGAGACTGTTTTAATGTTAGAAACAAACTTACAGTTTTAAATTAATATTTTGTAATATACATTTATGGCTAACAACATATTCTAGACCTGTATAATATCTGCTTTAGTGCCAATAAACAATTGAATTGTTTGTTTGCTCAAAACTGCAATTACAGAGAATTTGTAACATTTATGGGAAGATAAGTATCAAGGAACAAGGTTCACACCTTTTTAGACGGAGGCTGTATGACAGCCTCTGTGTATAGGGATTGTCTTGCCCATGGAATGTAAACAGGAAAGATTTCCCAAGCACCATCTATCGGTGGAATTGTTTTCATTACCTTGAGAATTCTATTTTTAGAGCGACTCTGCGTTACACCGACCGCAAGGATAGGCATAGTCTAAAACAAAGATCGCGTCACATACAAGTATAAACAAACAGTTCTACTTTTTCTAAATAAACAGGATTTGTCTAATATTTTTTAAAATGACGTGTATATAAATACATTTCCTACGGAATATGTAAAAAAAAAATGTGATTTACTATTAATTTTTTATCAGACAGAATATTAGGAGATTTTGTTCCAACAGACGATGATAAAGCATGTTTTACAATATGCCGAGCCTTTTCCCGCCGGTTCTCACACCAAAACAAGAACGAGAAGAAATGAAGTGGCACATCTAGAGGGAGTTGGGGGGGGGGGGGTTTAACATCTGCGGAGAGTGATCGAGGAACCCCACTTATCAATTGCTTCTTTTATTAAAGTAAAAACTATCTCTAGTTACAGATAAGTTTAAACTTTAGTTTTATATTTAATTGTAAAAACTTCCACCAGAATTCGCCTGTGTATCAAACTAAGTGTGGAGACGCAGATGTACCTGTATTATGTATTGAAGAAAATCCTGCTATGTCGCATGCAAATGTTTTATGTCGCAGGTATAAATATAAGATATTTTAATAATAGATCAAGCATTTCAGTTTTAATGGAATTTTTTGTGCTTGATTGTTGTTTGTAATCTCATTTTCATTCCTTTTCTAATTTCTTTTTGAAAGGACCGATAAATTGGTTTGCGGCCGATTTTTGACGCTTGCATCAATAGGTTTCATGGAGTTTTTTAATCTGACAAGGATCGATGAATAAACAAATGCATAGTATTTTTATATGTAGGAATATTAACAGTCTAGTTTTGAATTGTTTATTTGATATTATGTATAATTTCAGGAAACACATGAAAATAGATTTACACTTTCTACAAGCGGTTTGAGTGTTTGGGGTACCCTCACATTAGATAAGAGAGAAACAAACGGCAACTCTGATATTGAGATCAAAATGCATTTGTAACGTTTGACCCTTGGGTACAACCCAAATCTTGGTTCATAGGATTTACATGATTTATCACATAATATCCTAATTAATGATTAAAAATCATATCTTCTGAAATAAGTTGTCTTATTGTCATATCGTTGATCCTTATTTGCATTTGATACTTGTGTTTTACCTCTTTCACATCCCAAACTTTAATTATTTTTTATATACAAGATTACATGTATTTCTGATCATTGGTATTCATGTCAATTTTTTTTAACCTACATCATTGGTAAAGTGATTGTTTTAACTGAAAAGCAGAAATCATAGTTATATATTTATAACTTTTCTCTACGTAATTTGTAATCATGTCTCATTGTTAATGATTGTTTTAAACAGATAAACTGAAAAGGACAACCATTTCCACTGGTATACGAGTAAAGAAAGACATTTTTTGGGTTAATCTGTCATATGATAAAATACTACATTTAATAATTCCAGAAATATTGGTTGTCAAATTTGTCAAGATATATCTTTGTTATTGTAAGCAATACTCCAGTTCTCCAAAAACAATTTAAACTTGTGAAATAGCAAGTCTTATGAACTTGATTGTTCTGTTTACATAAAGTAAGAAAGTATATTTTATTCCACTCAAAAAATTGTGTTCTGGCACGAACATTTATTTGCATGTTAATGAAGTTGTATTCCTTAAAGAAAATTCTGTGTCGCTTTCAAGCTAGGTCACCCCATTTTGTATCACAAAGTTTTAAGACAAACTGTACTATATTATGTTGTTCATGTCCAATTACCTGGCTGCTTCTTTTTCCATGTTAGCTCATATCATAACATTATTACAATAAGGCCGAGAAATTTTAATTTTGGTAGCTGTTACATGTCATAATTATGTGAACAGTAGGTCTCTGTGACCTATAAATAAGATATCTTGAAATATGGAGACTCCTGACAGGCTGAGGCCTAGTGCTGAATCCAGAAATTCTGAAATAGGGGGACCAGTTTGAGGTCAGGGAAGGGGCCCACAGCCACAATTAAAACACTCATTTTTCAAATATTGCGTATTTTTTGGACTCAAAAGGGAGGGGGCCAGGGGCCCCTTTTAATTCCGCCAGTGGACTCATGACTAGAACATACTAAACCTACATTCATCAAACCGGGCCTGGGGGCATACAACTTAGACAAGCTCACTTTTGATCTCAGTCTCACTTTTCCACTATATATTCCTTAAGTGAGACTGGGATAAAAAGTTAGCCCGTCTATTTTATGTCAACCAGGCCTAGTCAATTACTGTTTCTTACTTTGAAAGGTTTAATATTGAAAGTATCTCATCTAAATAACAGTGAACTTTAATCAAGGCGAAGTTTACATTACAAAGATGAAATTATAATATCCCAAAAACCTCATGAATATTGGAGTATCCTTTGAAAAAAATGTTGAATTGAAAAAAAAACTACATATTATTTCTCATAATATTCTTTACAGCAATGTTTGACATATATATTTCTTTTGTGTTCTCTCATACATGAAGCCTCCGTCTAACAGTACTTTCAGTACTTTGATTGGGCATTGTGAATTTCTGAAAAATCAAAAATGCTGAGTTATTATTGGAAATACACTGTACATTAGATTTTACTTGAACCCTTAGTGACTGCATATCTATTAAAAATGACATAATTTTCTCGCTACGGCTAGTTTTTGTATGATGAAGTCATGAATTGTCGTCATTGTCCTCAAATCTGGAATTCTCTTCTGAGTTCAAGAACACTAGTCTGCTATTTAATAAAGCTGATAAAAATCGTGGAAAAAAAAATCAAGATCTTTTAATTACCATTTTCAACTTTCTCCTGCCATGTGTGGATTAATGCAAGTGTTTCTGTCCTGATTGTTACAGAGAAGGAGGAGAGATTGGCTAAAGAGAAGGAAGAGGAGGCAAAAAACCCAGAGAAAAAGAAAGTAGGCTTCTTTCTGTGTTACTGGTCATATCAGGTGATAATGGTTATAGCTTATCTGTGTTTACTGTCAACCTTCCCATTCTTCCTAAATATATATGTTATCTGTTTTAAAGACTGAAGTTTTTTAAGTAAAGAGGTTCTGAAAATATTTAAATGTTTTGCCCAAATTTGTTGGAAGTAATAATTCCCTGCTTAAAACTGTCAACATCAGTTTCTATAATGGTATTTTATGTACTAGTAGTTTTAAATTTGTCTCTTAAGTGAATTTAAAATGATCAGAACAGAGTTAAAAAATTTTTAAGTTTACAGAAAATCATTTTATTCACCTGTGTATATATGACATAATTCTTCATTTAAACAGTTCCAGTACAATGCTGATTCATTTTTTTTTATTCAGCACAATTTAAATGTTATCATTATTTTAATATTACATTGTTGTTTTTATGACTTTTAGCCTAAAAGAACTCGAAAGAAAAGAGTTCCCATTCAGGCCGCAACAGCTGAAGAGGCTATATATAAACTGATCCACGAGAAGAAGATCTCCAACAAGATCAATTATGACGTCCTCAATGACTTAAAGTGCCAATCAGGTCCCTCCCACGCACCCCTCACAACCCTCACAACCCCTAAAGTAGAGGACACAACCACTGACAACCCGTGAGTGACCTCTAATCAAGTCATCCAAGTAATCTAAATCAACATTTTAAAATGAGTACCCGATACATGTACAAAAATCAGTTCATAGAATGTTTATAAGTTAATCACATTCGCTATAGGTCTACAGGTGAAGTAATTCAGCCTAACTTAATTAATTGACATTTCCAGACTTGAGAAAATGAGCAGGTTTACTAGCAACTGATAAAAGATTCCATGTTATATTTTATTTTATGTCCATTAGGACATGAGAGTATGATCATCTCTAAAGTAGAATGTGCTTGACAAATAATGATCAAAATGAAGAAATATATGTACATTTTTGTACATGTATTTCAGGATTTTATTTTTTCCAAGTACTTTAATACTGATTTTAGTCTTCAACAATTTGACCCTTATTCAGTGATTACTCACTGGTTACTCATTGATATCCCTACAAAATTAGAATCTGATGTATAATCCTATGTATAATAATGAGACATTCTGCTTTTGTTTTTAAAACGAAAATTTTTACTGAGTATATACTTTATTTTGCAGAGAAAAGAAAACTATGCCAAGTACTGTCAAGAAAGAAACGGAGGTAATGTCTGATTTAGACTTAAATTTATTTGTCAATTCATCTTGCTTAGAAACTCATTACTTGAGAAAATACCAATTTTTAGGAATTGGATATTGAAATTTTATATAAATTAAAACAAAATGTTAAAAATATATCTTCTGTGCTGAGAAGTGTTATGTTTCTGCCAGCTAACTGAATGTCACACAAGAATAAATCTTCGATGTAATCAGCAATGTTTTCAGGTTTGAAAAACTGTTAAGTTTGAGAGTTTTTTTTATTAAAAGGAACCAGAAAAGAAGAGAATGAAGGTGGAGAAGGATGAGGACTCGGATGCTGGAGTCAGAGAGGGGGAGACAGCGGCAGTGGTGGTGGAACACGGGCCAGTTCAGTACATCCAGAATCTCACAGAGGGTGGGTAACATACATCACACATTTCAATGTCCACTTGCTTGCTGTAGATAATAATTTCCATTGTTGGCATCTAGAGAAATTGTGATGATTTCTTTAGATGTGGGGTTCGTTTATAGTTTGTTAATTTCTGGTTTATATAATTTGCAATTATTGTAGCTTGTTAATTTCTATTATTTGTGATTATTGTAGCTTGTTAATTTCTATTATTTGTGATTATTGTAGTTTGTTAATTTCTATAATTTGTGATTATTGTAGCATGTTAATTTCTTTTGTGATTATGGTAGCTTGTTAATTTCTACTATTTGTGATTAGCTTGTTAATTTCTATTTCTAATTATAGTAGCTTGTTAATTTCTATTATTTGTGATCATTATAGCTTGTTAATTTCTGTTTTTGTGATTATTGTAACTTGTTGATTTCTATTATTTGTGATTATTACAGCTTGTTAATTTATAGTATTCGTAATTATTGTATCTTGTAAATTTCTATTATTTGTGATTATTGTAGCTTGTTAATTTCTATAATTTGTGATTATTGTAGCTTGTTAATTTCTATAATTTGTGATTATTATAGCATGTTAATTTCTATTACTTGTGATTAGCTTGTTAATTTCTATAATTTGTGATTTTTACAGAGGAAGCCAATCTAGAGGAGGAGGAAGAGGAGGAGTTTTATGATGAAGATGAACCTGTCAGTGCAGCCAAACTTCTGGGTCATGATCAAGTTCAAGGTTAGAATTCTACCTCTTCTCTCAGAGATCCTCGCTAACTCGGACATATTATTACTGTCATTCATTCAAGAAAAATACATGTATAATGTTTAGTTCTGAATGCTGTTAATATAATAAAACCATCCATGACAATTTTGGATAATTTTTAATCTGTATGTACCCAAGGTAAAAAAAATGTATGTTTAGATGAAGAATTAGACAAACATATTGAGGTAAAGTCCATTCACCTTTATAACTGACATTTTCAGACTATGAGGACTTGTACGATGATGACTGATGGCACAGTCTTAACAGAGAGAAATCCACATCTTCTACTGCCAAAGGCCAGCAACTCCTATCAAACCAAATCTATGGGAATAAGACAGCTGAGAAAGATGGAACTACAATTACTATTTGGCCCTGTGTTTCCATTTGTATAAAAAGGGAATGAGCCATAATAGATATTTTGATACTGCAAATTACAGCTGTTTCAAAATTTAATTTTTTAACATTTGTGTAGTTGTTATAGAATAAGAAGATCGAATGACATTTGAAGATAACATTATTCATAGATGATTTGATATGTCAACATTGTACAGATTTACAATAAGATGCTTGTCAAAGAATTTAATATACATTTCTCTTGCAACTACTTTAAGCATCAAATCTGAATGTCAGTAATTTATTTCCCCTCTCTAGTAGCTTAACAGAAAATGTCTTTTCTGCTATGGAATGGTGTTGATCCTTTCGTTCTTCTTATACTGATCTATAGACAAGATGAAGTGCAATAAAAGCTGATGAATAGACTTTGTTGAAATAAAATGTTTATAATGGACAATGTTAATTTATAATCTAATTTATTAATGCTGTGACTGAAAAAATACTCAATTTTGGCAAACAATTGTACAATTTGATTCTAAGTATTTTTGAACATTAAAAGTTCTTTTTAAATTTTTTAGAAAAATAATTTGTATTTGCATAGTATCATTGTGTGATTTCAGCCCTGGGGTAGGGCAGGGCCACAATAGGGAATCGAGGTTTTACATGGAAATATACCGGTACATGTATAGGCAAAATCTTTTAAAAATCTTCTTCTCAAGAACGGGATGGGGTCATAAAAGCTAGGGAATCCAAGGTTTACATTGAAAAATATAAGTATGACCAATAATTATTAGCTAAGGCGTGTCCACACTGTGGCTCAAACCTACAACCCTCAGATTTAAAATCCAACTCAGGCGCGGATCCAGGAATTGAAGTTAGGGGGCGCCAAAAGTAGGCAAGGGGTCTGGGGGCCGCCTTGAGGCCCCCAGTGGGTCCAGGGCAAAGCCCTGGTGGGGGCCCAGGGGGCAAAGCCCCCGGAAGCTCCTGGATTCTAGAGATTTTGTAGGGTAAAAGTGAGGTCTACCAAGTATACATGTTTAAATTTTCTAGAGGAAACTGTGATTTACGTTAATTTTGACAATTTTAGGGGGGGCGCGCGTCGGGTGTGCCCCCCTTTAAATCCGCCACTGCCACTACCTATTGCTAGTAGGCGTGAGGTCTCAGTATATTATACAACACATAGCCACTGTATTTATAACTCTGTTATATCTAAGGAATTATTAATCTTCATTAAAAAAAAAAAAACACTGAGCCAGAAAAGCTAGAGTAGCATTGATTAAGAATTGTTCAAATCATGATCCCTGGGGAAGGTTGATGCCACAGTATTTTGTATTGAAAGGGGGAAATGATCTGTTGAAGATGACAGCAGGTCTAAAGTTACTCAGGTGAACTTTGTGGCCCACAACTCTCATTTCCAATTTTTTGCTGCTTTTTAAGAGAAATCTGAATCTCTGTATATTATTTTAATATTATCAATCATAGTTGTTTCAGTAATCTTTAGCATTTCCAGGAAGTACCTAGTGATCACTTAATATCTGCAATATCGGGGGGCCTAACTTTATCCAGTCCCGGCCAAAGGTGTGACACATTTAGTTTCGAATTATTTTAATTTAAATTTTCCCACTTATTTCAGTAAGGAGTTGGGTTCCCAAATTCAAATGAATATGCAATTTTTCGAAGATTTTAATATATGTTTCCTTAAAAAGACGAAATGCGCAGGTGTGTCAGCTGAATAAACATGAAAAGGTGAAGGCCAGAGAGGTTCAAAGTTCGCACTATGAATTTTACATACAGACGACAGATGTTGATGGTTCGATTATAGATTGGCGGATTTAAACTATTTAGATAATGACAATTATTTATTGAAAAAGTAACAAATTTTAGACGTTGTGTGTGTGTGAAGCTATGATGAGTGAGTTTGGGTCGCTTGGCGATGGAATTAGAAGTTCTCGGAATCGAAGTTCAAATGATCATGATAGACTTTATCCAAGCCTGTTTCCTTCTGATGAAGAGGCGGAAAGTGACAATGCTAGTGAGTTGTCAGTAGAAAGTGAAGCCAGAGCAACACCTCCTCCTGTGAGGCTCAAAAATCCTCTTTTTCCTAAAAAGGAGTATGTTGATAAGTTGAGACCAGAGGAAATTCGGTGGTTCTACAAACAGGATGGTGATAAAGAATGGACACCGTTTATTGGATATGACTCTTTGAGAATAGAATGTCGATATCGGGCGTTGCAAAATGTAGAGGATGAAAAGGAAATTGACACTGATGTAATTTTGGTTCTTGGTGGTTTATATCAAGTAGATGTCTCCAAGAAGAAATGTACACCTGTGTATTGGACAGGTGTGTGTTGTGAGCTCAGTCGAGTTAAAGGCTCAGTTGAGCTTTTCCGCCCGAGTTAAAGGCTCAAGGGAGCTTTTCTGATTGATGAGTGTTCTGTGTCTGCATATGTGTTGTCTGTAAACTTCAATGAAAGCCCTAACCCTTACCATTAAAAAGTTATGGCCAAGTTTAAAGGATTTTTTAGAGTAGATCAATCTACAAAGGTCAGAGTTGTTGGAATCAAAAGAAAAGTTTTGTAACAAAGAATACATATGAGAAGTCCTAACACCAACCATTTAAAAGTTAGGGCTATAAATGTAAAAGTGCGGGGTTTTTTTGTGTAAAAGTAGGTCAAAATCCAAGGTCAAGAGGTTAAATTAGGTGGTACCCCAAGAAAGGTCTTGTCACAAAGGAATACAACTATGAAATATGAAAGCCATAGCCCCACCACCTCAAAAGTTTTGGGCAAGGTTAAGGATTTGGACAAACGGATAGACAGGGCCAAAACTATACACCCCCAAACTCCATTTATGGGAACATAAGAATCTTTAAAAATCTTTGTTTTCAGAAACAACAAAGCCACATAAAATGGCTCAGGGATTAAAAACATGCATATAACAACCCAAATCATGAGCGATTCTTTTTATACATTCATAGAGTGGAGCCACAATGGGGGATCAAAGTTTTAAATAGGAAAATATTATTTATATAAGCAAAATCTTGATTTGTACACTACCTGAGTCTTATGGGATTTAAATAAAAGGGCCATTACTTCAGAAAGGGATGCCTCATTATTAATTTTTATGATTTTCCATTAATGGGACATCAATGACAGTAAGATAATGTTAGTTCGTGTTTGGTTTAATTTATAGGACTCGCTTAGATAATCTCTGGAGATAATTAATAATACCATTCCCTTATTTGCTTGACACAGGGTAGTTTATGATCTTGTATTCATGGACCTTCTGACATTTGCTTGAAATTGGGAAAAACTTTTTACACAAGGAAGTACTAAATAACACCAAACCATTGCATACAGCAGGAGTCCTTTTAGCTTCCAATTTGGAGAAAAATAGGTTTACTTAACAATTTTGAGGCAATAATTATAGTCTGTAGGCTTGTGAAAAGGAAGTCTTAATGATAAGTCTACCCTTCCTTATCATTTATTCATTGTTGGGAATTTTAAATGAAAATTAAAGTTGGGAGGAAATACCACCTTTTCAGCGTTGTGAATGGGGCTTTATTTTGGCCCCCTACAGACCCCTAAAAAACCTGTGACACCAAGGTTGAAATTTTCAGTGTTGACTGTTGCTAAATTATATTGCACTAGAGGGTGTTGTGTCAAAGGATAATGATCTTTTTTGACAAATGTATCCCAACAAATCAGACTCATTTGTTATTTACTTGAAAGTATAATATTTCTGAACATTAAATCTGTACAAGAATGAATAAAGACTTAGCTAGTTTTATGTACATTTAAACAAGTAATTAAAAAAATTCTTAACTACCACAGAAAAATTGTAGTTTTTTATTCTGCAGATCAAGGAGACTTATTGTAGACCAGATACAGGACCTTATACCTTTATCATTAAGTTGAATACCCCATTACATATTTTCTTGATTTAAGATGAGTTAACTAACCAGACCAGAACTCAAGTATTGCATTATCTGTTCAAACAGAGCTGGCCAGTGGATGTTTACACAACACTGAGCCAGTGTTGTCCCTTTATTATGGGAGAGATAGTAAGGATTTAGAGTACCAATAGGTAAACAGAATTGATTGGTCATGTGGTAACAGATGTACCTATTGTTTATATGTACCTGTAATTTTGAAGTTTAGCTGGTCAACGACATACAGAGGCGTATGATAAGATTATCAATATTTTTATTAAATAATGTATACATTTGTACATACAGAATGAGTGATTCAAGTTGGAGGAGGTCATTTTTACAGTTTTAATATCTATGATTATAAAATGACATATATATGTTGAATGTTCATAATATATATACATTATATAAGAGCAAATGAACTTATGAATGCAATTTGAAGCAGATATTGGTCCATTCATTCCTGTATGCCATGGATACTTTTTACATGCAGCCATTAAAGAGAGTTAACATATACTATAATGATTATCTTTCCTCAATTGTATAATTTCAAGGAACTTGAAGACCTTAGATATATTTAATTATCTCATGCTATATGATTTTATATTTACATACCAAATGTGTAACAGATTTTTTTTACCATGTTAGAAATGACAGATTGCTGCATGACTTGCTTGACAAAGATTTTAGGCTGTTCCTTCTAAAGCTAAATTTCTATTTCAAGTATAACATTATTTTCTTTCACAATTTTGCTGGTATACATATAAAGGCACCTGTTATTGTAGCATATTTTTCAGATTCAGTAGAATTGTTTTATATCACTCAGGTTCTGTTATACTTTAGGTGATGAGTCCGACATTACACAAGGTCTTTGGTTCTATGAATATAACGGACAACCCCTGGAGGATGGCTATGGAATCCAGATAGAGACGGAACATGTCGCTAAATTCATGGGGCATAGTTTGGAGCAGGAACATTCTTCTCCACAGAAAGGACCCAAACCAGGTATAGGACTAGGCTGTAAATTAATTAGGACTAAAACCAGGTATAGGACTAGGCTCTAAATTAATTAGGACCCAAACCAGGTATAGGACTAGGCTGTAAATTAATTAGGACCAAATTATTAATGATTATTCTGACAATGATATATCCAAAAAAAACTTTTTTTTATCCTTATTTTTTTTATTTTTTTTTTTTACAAACATTTGATTTTCTGATTTCATTGCAGTGCAGCATTCCATGAGATTTACTGACTTTTACATAGAATGGAACCACCCTAATGAGATTTATCTGTACAGTGAGGCAGCTTCATCAAGATTTGTACGAGGCTTTAAAAAGAAACTGGGAATGCAGAAAGGTACCAGTAACCGGGTTTTATTCATGGTGAAAAAGCTTCATCAGATTATGTATTAAACACTTCTATAATACTTTCCATACCATACTTGTGAATGCTTACACTTTAGGTAAAAATTTACCACTTTTTTTATTCCATTTCCCACTTGCATAATTTATGTAAATGCCACTAAATGGTGTTCTCGTGTACTTTTAAAAATTGCACAAGATATTTGATTTTGATTATTGCAAGTGTCTTTTGAGGCCATATTCTGTTCTCAAAATTGAAGCTTAAAACATTGTGCACAGTGCCACACACCTCTTTTGAGGTGTGAAATTGTTATGTTAATAGTAATGTTCTGTACATTATACTTGAGCAGCTGGTACCAGGCTGATTCGAGGCTATAAATATGAAGCAGTGATGGATGACAAGCCTGCTGACATTTCTCATCTTATATTTGTTATTCACGGCATCGGACAGAAGATGGAGACAGGAAACATTGTCAGGAGAGCTAAAGAGTGAGTATCCACCATACATCGCAGCTTTTAATAAATAATGCTTTTAAAGATTTTTACCTTTGAACACTTTTCAAGACTGTATGATATCAAGTGTGTATACTTTTTGTCATAAGGCTGAGAGAAAAGGTAACCCAGATGAAATCCAAGTGTTTTAGCCTGATAGAGAATTGCTCTCACAGAGCCGAGTTCTTACCAGTAGAATGGAGATCCAACCTGAAACTGGATGGAGGTAATTAATTTAAGATTTTTTTGTTTTATAAAGTAAATAATCAGTTAATTATCAATTCATAGATAACCCAAATATGCATGTAAAAAATATTACCACATCAACAGAAGTAGTAAAAATTTACTGATATTCATTTCTTATTTTTTGAAATATGTACCAGCATCAGATCATGACTGTATTTGTTGATGTCCACATAGATGGGTTTTATAACTATAATTCTTTATTTAGACATGGTGGACTTAATAACACCACACAAAATGAGAGGAATGCGTTCTATTCTTAATAACAGTGCAATGGATATACTGTACTATACCAGCCCATTATATAGGTCAGAGGTTAGTATAGCTAATTATCTAGGGCAAAGGTTAGTGAATCTGACACTTTATACTACACCAATCCTATAGACAAGTAAGTTTTACTGTCTGTATTATTCAGCACTTTGTATTATCTCAGAGATTAGTGCATCTGATACTGTATAGGAGGAAAATAACTTGCGGTGTTAATATTCGCTATATTCACGGTATTAATAAATCTGTGAATTCAAGAAACAGTGAATAATTTCCATGTTTTATTTTGAAATTTGAGAATAGACTACCATAGGTTTATATACATGAATGTGCAGTAAATGGTCATTTCAGTAATTACGAGTAGTATCATATAATCATTTTAATTATAACGCTTTGAAATTCATTTGATTCAAAGTAATCGGAAGATAATAAATAACCTGTGTTTGTGAAAAAGCTGTTTTAATGGCCAACGCTACATGTTTCTTCAATCAAAACACTTGGGCCATGGGATTTGATTGAGGCAGGATATGTTGATGCATCTTTGAAAGATGGTTTGCTGCATCCCAGAAATAGGTCAAAGTGACCTTCTTTTGTAATATTGCTATACATATACTTAGACAAAATAGTTTACAGGCCATAGCGAGCTCACTGTGAGACCCTGTAGCATCAAATCTAGTTAGTTAATCATTCTTGGAGAGATGGATGTTGCAACCCAAAGTAGATCATTTTGTAAATTTTGCAATTTGTTGACCGTACATAGTCAAATTGTGTACAGATTATATCTTGTTTGTGAAAGACAAAGAAGCATCAAACCATTTCAGTTGTTGCATATCTTGTGACATGCCTACTCATTTTCTCTCCAAAACATATGTTGCATAACTCTCAGTTGATTATCAGAAATATCTTTGGGGTTAAGTATGTCATTACTGAGAAGAGGTCACTGTGACCTGATTTTGGACTTCTTTATTATCATATTATCATATAAATGTAATGTGTTTACTCATTCCACTTTAAGATAACCCACAGTTTACAGAATGAGCTTAATCGACTATTTGAAATGTTCTGCACAAGGAATCCATACTTCCAGGTCAATGGAGGAAAAGTCTCTATTGTGGCCCATTCTTTAGGTATGTATCAATGTGTCCTGGAATTTGCATTAAACTACAGATTTTATTAAGAGGGGCATATGAAAAGTTCTGAGAACTGTTTGATAAACTATAAACCATCCAATGGAAGTTAATGGATTTGATATTATTGAAAAGAGCTGGAAATTTTGCACTTATCATGAAGTCACTGTAATTTTTTTATGTAATAACTCCCAAAATGACATCAGAATGCTGGATGTCTAGATCACTGTCCATGGAAAATGAGAAAACTAGAGACACCGTTTCAGCAGAGTAAAATTTTTCACTCATTTTTTGTTCATTACTTTTATGCACTCTAGCCATTTGGCAGAATTTCGAAAAGAGTCGCAAGACTGTATATTTTACATATAGCTCAGTTAAAAAAAATACTCATAACTTTACCCATGGAACAATAATTTCATGCATTTCTTTGAAATATTGCATACGAAATATTCCTTTAAATTTTTAAAAAATTATTTTTAGGTGCTGTTATTTCCTATGACATTATAACTGGTTGGAATCCAATCCAGCTGTATGATCAGTTTGTAAACTCAGTCATAGTAAGTTCATATCAAATTATCATTATTGTGTAAGGTTTTTACTGCACTGTTCAAATGTAGCATAAGGGGATGCAGTTTAATGATTTAGAAACAGACATTTAAGGGGACGAAGGATGTATCGTCACATGACTCAGTTTAATTACGTCATAATCTCTGATAAAATATGTACAGAACAAGATTGAAACCATAGTACTTGTATAATTTTTTAACTGTTTGTTTGAGTTCACCATCTTGTATAAAAATATCTAAAAAGATTCAAACTTTCTTGAAAATATTATCAAATTACGGAATAGATTGATCCACTCTTCTGTTTCCCTACGCTGCACGTCCAACAAGTCGTTGATGTCATAGTGGATCTCTTAGTACAGTAAAATGAGGGTAGTAGAATATCTTTAAAAACAGGTCATGATCAGTACATGATGGGGTATTTAGTGAATCAAGGAACACAAAAAATATTTTTACATGGCTGTTGACGGAAATATTTTGTAGGTATGTCTCATTTCGCTTATTTCGTAAATATGTGACATCATAGTTAGGTTTTCCAGTGCTCGAGAAATGTAAACATGACACGTTTTTCTCAAGCTCATGTCTTATTTAACTATGCCCTGTGCAATATTGAGCTCAGCTTCACCAATTGATATTTTTACAGCTAATCAATAACATGACAATCTTGCATTTCAACGTAAGTTTTCAAATATTGAATGATAGTATTTTTTGCAAATTAATTTTTTTGTTGTTTAAGTTGTCTTAAAAAAGTACGTAATTTTCCGTCTCCAGATGCGGTGCGCCAAAAGAATATTGCTTTTTCGAATTTTTAACCCTATTAATACTCTGAAATATTTTGAAAGGCACATGTTTGCTGACATATTTTTTATCTATGCTGAAAAAAATCCATTATGAAGCGATTAATGGGCCCAGAAACATTGCGAATCAAAACTCCACTTAGACACTGTAGGTATAGTAGTTGTCACTCAATATCTCAAAAATAAGTCTAGAAACCTATTGATGTATCTGCTTTAAGGTATGTGGGACATACTAAATGAGAGATATCCAAAATATGAAAAAAATTGAACGACAGGTATTTTTTCAGCTAAAGGTCCTTCTTCCCCTTAAAAACATACATTTAAAAAATAATAGAAGAATAGGTAGTCAGCAGATTTTGATGAAGAAAAAAAACCCACAAATAACTAGAAGAAAAACAGATACTACTAATGTAGAGTAAAATGAAGTACATGCATGTATGAATTCCAATATACAGGGAGACTTTGAAGATTTTCATCCCATTTTGTTACAGCAGTGGTTTAGATTAAATTTTGTCAAATCCATGGCCATAAATGAGCCTTAGGTTGAGCCACATACAGTAGGTTCTCAATTCCTGTATATAAGGAGACCTTGAAGATTTTTTCCCCGTAGAAAAATCTACTTCTGTTAAATCAATAAGCACCCTCAGCTTGTGGATATCATAACTTGTATATGCAAGGTTGGAGATGTTACTCTAATTTAAAAGTAAAAATTTGTATATTTAAAAATTTTTAAAAATGTTTTTTTAGGAGGATGAACAAAAGGATTCTGATTCTAGTGACATTAAAAAAGAAATTCATGAAGCCAGGGAAAAGTAAGTCAATCAGCTGAGTAAATAAGATTGCTTTGTAGTGAAGAAAATTTACAATAAAACCAGATATAATTTCATTAATTTGGTTATTGTAGATAGCAATACAAGGTTTATTGAGTGAAATACAGAATAATAACCAGAACAAAGAAGGCAAAGTTTCATATATGAATTACACAACATAAGACAATTTAAGAAGTTTTCAAAATATATACTGACTATGGCAATGAAATTTTGCATTTTAACACATTTAATTAAAGGTTTGGTTTATTATTTATTTAATTTGGCATTAGCAGATGTCTGGGTTAACTTTTTAGGTCACCTGAGTAACTCAGGTGACCTATTGCTATCCGTTTTCGTCCGTCGTCGTGCGTCGTGTGTTAACATTTGAACATTTTCAGCTTCTTCTCTGAAACCACTGAACCAATTTCAACGAAATTTGATATACAGCATCTATGGGTGGAGGGGAACAAAAATTGTGAATTTCATGGTCCCCGCCCCCCTGGGGCCTGAGGGGTGGGGCCAAAACCACTAAAATTAATGAAATCTTTAAAAATCTTCTTCTTTACTCCTGGACATCAAGCAGGCAAACTATTGGCATGAATGTAATGAGCATTGAGTCCTCTACCAAAATTGTGAAATTCATGGCCCCAGGGTCAGGGGTTCTAGTGCTAGGGCGGGGCTCTATAGATTATATAGTGAAGATGCATTATTTCTTTGAAAATCTTCTTCTCTGCTCCTGGGTATTAAATACACTAACTAAGCACATAGTTATGATGAGCAAGAGTGCCTCTTCCAGATTTGTGAATTTCATGGCCCCAGGGTCAGGGGTTCTGGTGTTAGGGCGAGCTCTATAGATTATATAGTGAAAATGCATTATTTCTTTGAAAATCTTCTTCTCTGCTCCTGGATATTTCATAAACAAATTAAGCACATAGTAATGATGAGCAAGAGTGCCTCTTCTAGATTTGTGACTTTTATGGTCCCAGGGTCAGGGGTTCTGGTGTTAGGGCGGGGCTCTATAGATTATATAGTGAAAGCATAGTGAAAATGCATTATTTCTTTGAAAATCTTCTTCTCTGCTCCTGGGTATTAAATACACTAAGTAAGCACATAGTTATGATGAGCAAGAGTGCCTCTTCCAAAATTGTTAATTTTATGGCCCCAGGGTCAGGGGTTCTGGTGTTGGGACGGGGCTCTATAGATAATATAGTGAGAATTCATTATTTCTTTGAAAATCTTCTTCTCTGCTCCTGGGTATTAAATACACTAACTAAGCACATAGTTATGATGAGCAAGAGTGCCTTTTCCAGATTTGTGAATTTTATGGCCCCAGGGTCAGGGGTTCTGGTGTTAGGGCGGGGCTCTATAGATTATATAGTGAAAATGCATTATTTCTTTGAAAATCTTCTTCTCTGCTCCTGGGTATTAAATACACTAAATAAGCACATAGTTATGATGAGCAAGAGTGCCTCTTCCAGATTTGTGAATTTTATGGCCCCAGGGTCAGGGGTTCTGGTGTTGGGGCGGGGCTCTATAGATAATATAGTGAGAATTCATTATTTCTTTGAAAATCTTCTTCTCTGCTCCTGGGTATTAAATACACTAAATAAGCACATAGTTATGATGAGCAAGAGTGCCTCTTCCAAAATTGTGAATTTTATGGCCCCAGGGTCAGGGGTTCTGGTGTTAGGGCGCGGCTCTATAGATTATATAGTGAAAATGCATTATTTCTTTGAAAATCTTCTTCTCTGCTCCTGGGTATTAGATTAACTAACTAAGCACATAGTTATGATGAGCAAGAGTGCCTCTTCCAAAATTGTGAATTTTATGGCCCCAGGGTCAGGGGTTCTGGTGTTAAGTTGGGGCTCTATTGATTATATAGTAAAAATACATTTATTCTTTGTAAATATTTTTCTTTGCTTCTGGGTTTTAAGCCAATGATCCAAGTATATATATATATTTATGATGAAGAAAGGTGCATCTAGCAAAGTGGTTTTTAATGCCCCCAGGGTTAAAGGGGTGGGGGTGGGGGGGGGTGGTTACATAGCCTGAAAATAAATTAATGCTTTGAAATCTGCTCTTTGGTATTAATCAACCATTTTATGATAAAATTTGCAAAATTTTGAAATATATGGCCCTGGGTCAGTGGTTCCTTTGGGGTGAGGTGCACAACTGGTTATAAAGTGGAAGTGCATTTTCTCTTTGTTACTCTGATCTACCTCTGGGTATTAAGTAAATAGAGTAAGCATGCTAAGTTAATAATTATGATAAGCAATGGTGCCTCTTTCAAAATTGTAAATTGTGAATTTCATGGCCTCCGGTTTAAACACGAACCAAATTTAATTGTTTGAAAGTTGTTACACAATACTCAGGTGACCTATAAGGCCCGTGGGCCTCTTGTTTTATCATAACAGAGCTACAGCAGTTGAATCAATTCTGAAAGATGTTCAAGAAAAACACAAGAAACAAAGTGGACCAACACTTTCTTTCACAGTAAGATTTTTCACTGTTTAAGAGGACTTAGTGGTCTTGTTCTTTTTAGACCATTTTACTGGTAACCCTTCTGGAAAATTCAAAAAGAAGAGCTCTATATTAAAAAAATGCATCAAATATTTTTACTAGAACATGTTTTTTCCCTTTTATGAAACATTTTATGACATATGAAGTCATATTTACTATCTTTAGATAGATTTGTCGGGTAAAATGTTGACGAGCTGGGCTCTTCAAAAAGTACATCGGAAAATAGTTCTTGTTATTTGCATTTTAGAGAGCATTCATCTTCATACAAAAGTAATCTGTATTTTATACACATAGTCAGATTTGATGTATTATAGAATATTGTGCTGATTACCGGTATCTCTTTGTTTTGTGTTATTTTTTTGCAGATAGAGAACATGTTCTGTTTTTAGCTCACCTGAGCCGAAGGCTCAAGTGAGCTTTTCTGATCAATATTTGTCCGTTGTCTGTCGTTGTCGTCGTCGTTATCGTCGTCGTCGTTGTTGTAAACTTTTCACATTTTCATCTTCTTCTCAAGAACCACTGGGCCAATTTCAACCAAACTTGCTACAAAGTATCCTTGGGTAAAGGGGATTCAAGTTTGTTCAAATGAAGGGCCACGCCCTTATCCAAGGGGAGATAATTATGAATTAGAGAAAAATTAATGGCATTGTTAAAAAATCTTCTTCTCAAGAACCACTGGGCCAGGAAAGATGAAACTCATGTGGAATCATCCTCAGGTAGTGTAGATTCAAGTTTGTTCAAATCATGACCCCCGGGGGTAGGGTGGGGCCAAAATAGCCGATCAAAGTTTTACATTGGATTATATATAGGAAAAGTCTTTATAAATGTTCTCCTCAAGAACCACTGGGCCAGGAAAGATGAAACTCATGTGGAATCATCTTCAGGTAGTGTTAATTCAAGTTTGTTCAAATCATGACCCCCGGGGGTAGGTTGGGGCCAAAATGGCCGATCAAAGTTTTACATAGGAATATATAGGAACAATCTTTAAAATTCTTCTTCTCAAGAACCACTGGGCCAGGAAAGATGAAACTCATGTGGAATCATCTTCAGTTAGTGAAAATTCAAGTTTGTTCACATCATGACCCCCGGGGGTAGGGTGGGGCCAAAATGGCTGATCAAAGTTTTACATAGGAATATATAGGAAAAATCTATTAAAATCTTCTTCTCAAGAACCACTGGGCCAGGAAAGATGAAACTCATGTGGAATCATCCTCAGGTAGTGTAGATTCAAATTTGTTCAAATCATGACCCCCGGGGGTAGGGTGGGGCCTAAATGGCCTATCAAAGTTTAACATAGGAATTAAAGGAAAAATCTTTAAAAATCTTCTTCTCAAGAACCACTTGGCCAGGAAAGATGAAACTCATATGGAATCATCCTCAGGTAGTGTAGATTCAAATTTGTTCAAATCATGACCCCCGGGGGTAGGGTGGGCCAAAATGGCCGATCAAAGTTTTACATAGGAATATATCGGGAAAATCTTCTCAAGAACCATTGAGACAGGAAAGATGAAACTCTTGTGGAATCATCCCCAGGTAGTGTAGATTCAAGTTTGTTCAAATCATGACCCCCTGGGGTAGGGTGGGGCCAAATGGCCGAAAAAAGTTTTAAATAGGAATATAAAGGGAAACCTTTTAAATTTTCTTTTCAAGTACTTCAAAGCCATGCTTAGTGATATTTATAGGGAATCATCCTCAGGTATTGTAGATTCTAGTTTGTTCAAATCATGACCCCCTGGGGGGTTAAAATTCAAGCCCCCTCCACCCTCTCCGCCCTCAGTAAATTTTCAGTTTTGATCTGATATGTGATTTTTCTAGCAAATTGCTCAGGTGAGCGATGTGACCCCTGGGCCTCTTGTTAGAATATTGTGTTGATTACCGGTATTTCGTATTAGTTGGAGAACATTATTTGTAGAATATTGTGTAATTTTTTTGCAGATAGAGAACATGTTCTGTTTGTAGAATATTGTGTTATTTCTTTGTAGATAGAGAACATGTTCTGCTTGGGTTCCCCCCTGGCAGTGTTCCTAGCTCTGAGGGGGTTCAGACCTCAAGGAAAGGGGACCCTAGATCACATCATGCCTTCTAGTCTGTGTAAACGCCTCTTCAACATCTACCATCCATATGATCCTGTTGTAAGAAAATTTATTTCTAAGGTTTATTGAAAGCAAAAAGATAAAGCAATAAAAAATATAATGTTATAGTTACCCTTGTTTATATCTTATAAATACATGTATACCGGTTATGAAAGTGATGCTGAATACTTGTGAACAATATTTTTGTATTTCAGTCACTTATACTCTTTACAGGTCCCAAGTTTGAAAAAATATGCCCCAGATTTGTACATTAGACACTTAAAGTAATATCATTTTTAAGTGCTTTTGTTAAACGCCTTTCAATTTTTGTAGGCATACAGACTTGAACCACTCATTGCTAAATGCTTTAGATATATGCCTTTCCTTGATTTTGTAGGCATACAGACTTGAACCACTCATTGCTAAATGCTTTAGGTATATGCCTTTCCTTGATTTTGTAGGCATACAGACTTGAACCACTCATTGCTAAATGCTTTAGATATATGCCTTTCCTTGATTTTGTAGGCATGCAGACTTGAACCACTCATTGCTAAATGCTTTAGATATATGCCTTTCCTTGATTTTGTAGGCATACAGACTTGAACCACTCATTGCTAAATGCTTTAGATATATGCCTTTCCTTGATTTTGTAGGCATACAGACTTGAACCACTCATTGCTAAATGCTTTAGATATATGCCTTTCCTTGATTTTGTAGGCATACAGACTTGAACCACTCATTGCTAAATGCTTTAGATATATGCCTTTCCTTGATTTTGTAGGCATACAGACTTGAACCACTCATTGCTAAATGCTTTAGATATATGCCTTTCCTTGATTTTGTAGGCCTACAGACTTGAACCATTCATTGCTAAATGCTTTAGATATACAGTAAAACTCGTTTAGTACGAACACGGATATAGCAAATTCACGGATATAGCGAAGTTTTTCTGGGTCCCCGGCAACATTCTTAACAAATCTTTGTAATATTTTACGGTTATAACGAACTCTGATATAACGAATTTACGGATATAGCGAACTGATTTTGAGTCCCGTTGAGGTAAAATATATTGAAATTTACATCTTTTATAACGAACTTTCAAAGATTATAAAAAGAAAATTGATAAATTGAACTGATTTATTTCCTTTTAGCATGTATATTTAATTCAATTCATAATAAAAACCTTGGTTATCGAAGATATGTTATGTAATATTTGCTCCCCTAACATATTTGGTTGTAATATCTAAAGGAAAAATATATATTGCGAATTCGCTATAATGGTTATACGAATTCGTTATACGGGTATAAAGAATTACGGATATAGCGAATTATATTCACTGGTCCCCAGGACTTCGCTATAACCGAGTTTTACTGTATGCCTTTCCTTGATTTTGTAGGCCTACAGACTTGAACCACTCATTGCTAAATGCTTTAGATATATGCCTTTCCTTGATTTTGTAGGCCTACAGACTTGAACCACTCATTGCTAAATGCTTTAGATATATGCCTTTCCTTGATTTTGTAGGCCTACAGACTTGAACCACTCATTGCTAAATGCTTTAGATATATGCCTTTCCTTGATTTTGTAGGCATACAGACTTGAACCACTCATTGCTAAATGCTTTAGATATATGCCTCTCCTTGATTTTGTAGGCATACAGACTTGAACCACTTATTCTGAAGCACTACTCCACAATCATGCCTCTTCCTATTCACCGATTTGATGGCAAACAAAAAGAGTCCTACAACTCCATGAAAACAAAAGCATATGCTGCCTTTAAACCGTCAGTGTCTGCAGATAAAATATCCGACAAAGGTGATCCTATTGATGGCAATGATAGCACTGATTCTGTCCCTCATAGTAGCCGCGAATCTTCACCTGCTCGTAGCCAGGGCTTTTCTGTCTGTGGGTATCTGTATGTATGGTGATGGTTTAAACCATTTCATTTTTCCTTTGGTGATGGTTAAATTTGTATTTCACAGTATTCATATATATTTTTATTACTTTTGTTACTATTGACTTTTTAAATCTTTTGACTAACACAATTTTGTAACCAAAATAATTTTACATTTTAAAATTGCTCACCTTTGGGTTATTTTGTATATGCTGTTCAGGGTAGCTGTGAATGTTTAATTTATAACTATCCTCTTACAGTTAAATGGTTGAAGGGTAAGGAATCAGAGGACATGTCCGCGGAGCTGAAGATGCTGGAGAAGATGGAACAGGACGTCCAGGAGATAGAGAAACATATAAAAGAACGCAAGGAAATTCTCCAGGAAGTCGACCAGACAGGTAAAAATAGGCAATAAGTTCTCCAGAAAGTTGACCAGACAGGTAAAAATAGGCAATAAGTTCTCCAGAAAGTCAACCAAACAGGTAAAAATAGGCTATAAGTTCTCCAGGAAGTCAACCAAACAGGTAAAAGTAGGCAATAAGTTCTGTAGGAAGTTAACCAAACAGGTAAAAATAGGCAATAAGTTCTCCAGAAAGTCAACCAAAAAGGTAAAAATAGGCAATAAGTTCTCCAGAAAGTCAACCAAACAGGTAAAAATAGGCAATAAGTTCTCCAGAAAGTCAACCAAACAGGTAAAAATATGCAATAAGTTCTCCAGAAAGTCAACCAAACAGGTAAAAGTAGGCAATAAGTTCTGTAGGAAGTTAACCAAACAGGTAAAAATAGGCAATAAGTTCTCCAGAAAGTCAACCAAACAGGTAAAAATAGGCAATAAGTTCTCCAGAAAGTCAACCAAACAGGTAAAAATAGGCAATAAGTTCTCCTGGAAGTTGACCAGACCGGTAAAAATAGGTAATAAGTTCTCCAGAAAGTCAACCAGACCGGTAAAAATAGGCAATAAGTTCTCTAGGAAGGGGACCAAACAGGTAAAAATAGGCAATATGTTCTCCAGGAAGTCGACCAAACAGGTAAAAATAGGCAATAAGTTCTCCAGAAAGTTAACCAAACAGGTAAAAATAGGCAATAAGTTCTCCAGAAAGTTAACCAAACAGGTAAAAATAGGCACTAAGTTCTCCTAGAAGTGGACCAAACAGGTAAAAATAGGCAATAAGTTCTCCAGAAAGTCAACCAAACAGGTAAAAATAGGCAATAAGTTCTCTAGAAAGTCAACCAAACAGGTAAAAATAGGCAATAAGTTCTCCAGAAAGTCAACCAAACAGGTAAAAATAGGCAATAAGTTCTCCTGGAAGTTGACCAGACCGGTAAAAGTAGGCAATAAGTTCTCCAGAAAGTCAACCAGACCGGTAAAAATAGGCAATAAGTTCTCTAGGAAGGGACCAAACAGGTAAAAATAGGCAATAAGTTCTCCAGGAAGTCGACCAAACAGGTAAAAATAGGCAATAAGTTCTCCAGAAAGTTAACCAAACAGGTAAAAATAGGCAATAAGTTCTCCAGAAAGTTAACCAAACAGGTAAAAATAGGCAATAAGTTCTCCAGGAAATCAACCAAACAGGTAAAAATAGGCAATAAGTTCTCCTGGAAGTTGACCAGACCGGTAAAAATAGGCAATAAGTTCTCCAGAAAGTTAACCAAACAGGTAAAAATAGGCAATAAGTTCTCCAGGAAATCAACCAAACAGGTAAAAATAGGCAATAAGTTCTCCTGGAAGTTGACCAGACCGGTAAAAATAGGCAATAAGTTCTCCAGAAAGTCAACCAGACCGGTAAAAATAGGCAATAAGTTCTCTAGGAAGGGACCAAACAGGTAAAAATAGGCAATAAGTTCTCCAGGAAGTCGACCAAACAGGTAAAAATATGCAATAAGTTCTCCAGAAAGTTAACCAAACAGGTAAAAATAGGCAATAAGTTCTCCAGAAAGTTAACCAAACAGGTAAAAATAGGCAATAAGTTCTCCAGGAAATCAACCAAACAGGTAAAAATAGACAATAAGTTCTCCAGAAAGTCAACCAGACAGGTAAAAATAGGCAATAAGTTCTCCTGGAAGTCAACCAAACAGGTAAAAATAGGCAATAAGTTCTCCTGGAAGTCGACCAGACAGGTAAAAATAGGCAATAAGTTCTCCAGAAAGTCAACCAAACAGGTAAAAATAGGCAATAAGTTCTCCAGAAAGTCAACCAAACAGGTAAAAATAGGCAATAAGTTCTCCTGGAAGTGGACCAGACAGGTAAAAATAGGCAATCATAATACAGTGACGATGAGACCGTTAGGGCCAGCGTAGATACATATTCTGTCTTGATTTAGATCAGGCTCTTCAAACTGCACCTAGCATTTGATAGGTCTACACTCTGACGTCACAAGACATAGTATGTAAGTATAATCAGATCACTTCGCCCTTTTCCATAAACTCTCTTCTTTTAGCATGAGACAGAGAAGGACAAGGTAATCCAATTGATGCAGTGCTCCAAGTCGCGACTAAAATAGTGGCATTTGCGACCAAAAAATTGATTTTGTGACTAGAAATGAAAACTAACTCGCATTTTCATGACTGAGAAAATTTGGGCAGGCAACTTCCATTTTAAAGATCAGGATAGAGGTAACGTTTATGAAAATTCTCTATCAAGAAAATGTTTGTATCAATGCTGAGTCATGGAAGCATTCTCTGAGAGTGCAAATTCAATTGTGCTCAATTCATGGCCCCGGTGTATAGGGTAAACAGAAGATGGGATTTCATTTAGGAATACATATATTTATAAAGAGGGGAATCTGTTTAAGAAAAGCAGGGCCAAAGTTACTCAGGCGAGTGTTGCACATGGGCCTCTAGTTTCATTTTTAGCTCACCTCGACGAAGTCGAGATGAGCTTATGCTATACCCCCGGCGTTGGCGTCGGCGTCCCAGGTTAAAGTTTTAGGAGCAAGTCCATTCCCAAGTAACTATAATCCCTACCTGAACCAAACTTGCATGGATGATGCATCTAGGGATGTACACTACCAGACTTGCTTCGGATGCTGGATCTGACCTACATTTTCTAGATGAGTGACCAGGTTAAAGTTTTTGGAGCAGGTCCATTCCCAAGTAACTATAAGCCCTACCCAGACCAAACTTGCATGGATGATGCATCTAGGGATTGACACTACCAGACTTGCTTCTGATGCTGAATCTGACCTATTTTTTTCCATACAAGAGACCAGGTTAAAGTTTTGGGAACAGAATGAACTTGAAGTCCTTGATATCTGCAGTATTAACAAATTTATGAATATTTGTTTACACTATACATGTTTTTCACGCTACATGCGTAGAAATGTGCATATGCCCTGTAAGAGGTTAAACACAACTTGCAAGAATATTGTTGTTCGGATGAATACTAGATATTAAGAAAATATGTTGTGAGATTTGCATTACTTACACTGATGACATTCGTCGAGGTGAGCTTCGTAATCTTTGATTACCTATGTTTGCTAATATTTTTGTGCCATTAATTATTTTCACTATATTTTACAGACTTGGAGTATAGATTGGATTATCAGCTCCGTGAGGCCAGTTTCTCCAGTAGTTATTTCTCCATGTTGACATCACATACATCTTACTGGACTGACAAAGATGTGGCTTTCTTTATTCTGTCTCACATTCACCCGGAGCTCCAAGAATTATGACACCTCCAGTCTATAGCATTGCATATAACAGAGAGTTATATCTGAATGATATTGTCAGGTGCAACATACAAAATGATATAAATCATCTTTATTTAATGTCCCATTTAATAAATGAAAATATCAGCTCTTAAGAGCAACCCTCTGACGCAATTCAACAATTCAGATACATCATCTACCTGGTATATTTTTTCAAAGTAGATTTATTAGCTTCTGCCATGAATTGGCTTTGGTGTTCTCCTCTTATACAATCATTTTTTTCCCATCTTATCTCATTATTAGTTCATGAACAAATTCATACTTGATTTACAACTGGATTATTTGTTTTGAATTTGACGGAGAGTTCATGTGAAATTTAAGGTATTTCTGTCAAAAAATGCAGGAGAAATCTTTTTCACCAGTTCATGACAAAAAACAAGATGCATTGTTAGGGTTTTTTTTTTTTAAATGAAATTAAGTAATTGTGCATGACTTTAAGGTCACCTGTGTTAGTAGGGTAACCAGTTGTCTTCTCTTTCCATCTGTCATCATGCTTAAAATTAGCCTTTAATGTTTTACATTCCAAGCATCTGCAGGACTACTGGACCATATTCACGTGAACTTGCCATAAAGCAACCTATTTTTGGGCAAATAGGACTCGGGTTTCTTTTAATGCAAGGTCATGCCCACTTTCCAGGGGAGTTCACTAAGATATAAAAATTTTGAATGATAAGTTTTCCCAGGAACTGATGGAAAAGAAATGATGAAACTTTTTTGAAGCTTCTTGACATATTGTTGATTTCAGTTGGTTCAAATTATAGTCCCTGATAATAAGGTGGGGATACAAAAGGCTATCAAATATTTACCTTGGAACAGTAAGATAAAATTTTCCTTGCAAGGACAACAATATCGCCATATTCGCCATATTTAAAAAAATTTAAAGCATCCTTAGGTACATGTAGTGCACATTGAAATCTCTTAAAATCCTTTCTCCAAGGGGGAGATGAAATATGTGGAGATAACGAATAGTATTTGAGCTCAGAAGTCAATCAAACATTACAAAATACCTGGTAGTAACGGATCAAACACTGACCTCCAAAACAAAGGTGGGATCAGGTGCCACGGAGGAGTGAACATCCCCTGCAGACCCATCACACCCACCGTGTACTCTTTGTAATGATAGGGTAATAACGCAAAAAGTCTGTGGACAACTCAGTTTGTAAATAATGGCCTAAACAATCAGTATGAAAAAAGTCAGCCAGCATATGACTCGATGATAAATTGTATTTGTTGACAAGGTTATTGTGTCAACCATAGAACTTATGAAATGATAATGAGACCTCAACAGAAGATCCAAGTTTAATTTGGGAATATGTAGGGGAAAAACCCCTTAAATGTCTTGTTTTTCAAGAACAGCAAGGCCATAATGAGTGATTTTAATAGACAAGAACAATGTATCTCAGGTAGTGCAGATTCAAGTTTGTACTAATCTCGTTCCCCAGGGGTGTGGTAGGGGCCACAATAAAGGAGCAAAATTTTTTCTTCGAATGTGTAAGAAAAATATTCTTCTCAAGAACAGAAGAGCCATGTTTAGTCACATTTATATGGAAGCAATCCTCCTTAAATAGTGCAGATTCACATTCAAATCATGGCCCCTCAAGTGATCAATTGCTACAATTTTTTTTCTGCTGACATGTGTTGTTAGTTGTGTTTCAGTCTTTATCTTGATATATTTTTCAGCTTTTCTTGAACTGCTGAAACAGTTTCAACCATAACATCTATATGGGTGAGGGGAAACTCTTGTCTCTTGGGGCCTGATTTCAATGCTTTAAAGACAAATGAGGAAGAAGAAAATTAACTTTTCAATGTAAATTTACTTGGATTTTTTTTTTCACAATTTAACAAATAAATGAAGAAATTGAACAATTTTACATTAGGCACTATGTACAACATTGGTTATAGTTTTATTTACTACAATGTACCTAGATAAGAAACTAAAATTCTTTAATTGGTGAACCCTATAATAGGAGAAGAACTGTGCATAGTGTGATGATTCTGAAACTTGCATTGTACATTTTGATTAAGCTGCCAATCCACATGAATCAAAAGTTATGAGAACTTCTTTGATGGATATGTACTGTAAATCACTTATTTTCATGGGGTCTAATTTTCATGGTTTAAAGAAAAATCTTGGTTCATAGGGATTTGATTTCGTGGATGAAGAATTGTTTAGTTGTTATGTATGTAACATTGATTTTACATTCTGTGGTGACAGGAATTTGTGGGTCCTTACATACCTCGAAAATAACATGTATGTACAGGTTATAAAGTTGATTTTTTCCTTTACAATTGATTGTTTGTTATATTTTTGCTTGATTATTGTACACATACAGTATAAGTATGAAACTCCTGTAATGCATATTTCCTAATAAGTATCCACACAATCTGTGATATTTTTTATTTGAATTAGTCCCACCCAATGTTGGGGAGTGGTAGTGTTTAGCTTGATGTACCTATTTGTTTTTCACTGATCACACCTTATTATTACAATGACTTTTTGCTTACATGCATTTTTAACATGGAATAAACCATTCATAATTGTGTAAAGAGAGGATAACTCTTACAGTAGGCTACACTTAACTTTGGTAATAGTAGTGTGAATTTCATGATAAATTTCCTTATATTTCTCAGAAATATGTAAATCATGTCCTATTTTCATTTCATGTTCAATATTTACCATTAGATGACACAAAATGTTTTAACGGACTACAAACTTAACATTGTGTGATACAATACTCCTTGTTTTGGTTTTGTAAAACAGGTACTATTAATTTTTTTTTATTTACAGTAAAATACACTTTAAACAAAGTACCAGGGATGGATGTTTTAGCTTCATTATAAATGTTATTTGTTATTTCTGTTAGGTTCACATTACATTTTAAAGCCATGGGGAATGAAAATCACACTGCTTTTTAGTGAGCATCAATTCATTATTAGCATGTTCTTCATAACCATGTTTTACTGTATTACCAGTATGGTATTATCTATGAAATGAGTATACATTCCAATCTGAAATGTGTCTATTGATAATCCTTTCACCAGAGCCTTGGGCTCAATTTGTGTAGCGTGATATCTGTATGGTAAGCATAATTTTTATGGATTTTTCAACTTGTATTCACACTGGTTTGTTTATGGGGATTTAAATTTGTTCAGAAAAAGAGTTAATCCTTGGGGATAGGGAGGGCATGAGAATTGGACTTTTTTCCTTTACATTCTCTTTGATATTGTTCAATCTGTTGAGTTAGGGAAATAATATGGGGGCATCACTAGTCCAAAGTTGCTATATTGAAATGTATTAAGATTTTTTAGCAAAAAAAAAAAAAAAAGGATTTATTTCTTTAAATTGAAGCATTACATCTCCTAAGTTAAACGAAATACCTGCTGTTAACTTACACTTGTTTCTGTTCTGATTTTCATTTCATTCATTATTCAAATGTTCTTAGGAAAAACTATTCCTATTCTGCCCAACTATTTACATGTTTATATGGGTGGCTGTGTGTTTGGAGCTTTATTTAAAATGTTGCTTTAGATTTGATTGTTAAGAGATTTATTGACTTAAACACACAATTTTCAAAGTTGTATGTGATAAACTTTTTTTGATTTTTACATGCATAAAATGCTTATATTATATATTTATCATGTTATGGCTGTTAAGTTGGAAATATATTTAAATATTTAAATAAAGCTGAATATTTATGCTTTGTCTTTTTTAACAGGTAATTGTTTGTCCCCTACGTACTCAAAATCTCATTCATGTGTCAATCTGTAGTCCTGTTAGTCTGTCCTTCTATTACAAAAACTTTAACCCTGGTCTTTTGAATGAGAAGAGATAGACTTTTATATTATGTATGTGGATTACCTGTGACAAGACCTTTTTAAATCCACAATGATTTTTTACCCTCTGACCTTTGAGTTTGACCGTTTTTTAGCAAGTTAAAAAAACATTTCTTAAAGTTGGCCGTGAGAAGAGATAGGACTTTAATATTACATATGTATATTACCTGTGACAAGACCTTTCTAAGTGCACAATGATTTTTTACCCTCTGACCTTGACCTTCAAGTTTGACCTTTTTTCAACAAGTTAAACATTTCTCTAAATTTGCCAAAACTTTTGAATGAGAAGAAATAGGGCTTTCATACCAAACATATATATATATTACTTGTGACAAGACCTTTCTAAATGCACTATGACTTTTGACTCCGTGGCCTTGACCTTGGCGTTTGACTTCCTTTTCCAAATTTTACACATTACTTTAAATTGGCCAAAACTTTTGAATGAGAAGGGATAAGGCTTTTATACTACACATGTATATTACATTTGACATGACCTTTCTAAAAGCACTATGATATTTGACCCCTTGACTTTGAAGTTTGACATATTTTACAAAAACTTTAACCTTGGTCATAACTTTTGAATGAGAAGAGATTGGACTTTCAGGTGTATATTACCTGTGACAAGACCTTTCTAAGGACACTGACTTTTGACCCTGTGACCTTGACCTTTACATTTGACTAACTTTTCAAAAATGTTAGTTTTTCCTCATAACATCTGATAGAGAAGAGATGGGGCTTTCGTATTTGACATGTATTGCCTTTGACAAGATATTTCCGAGCATGCTATGATTGCTGACCTCTTGACCTTCATGTTTGACCTAATTTTCATAAAAATAAACTTTGTGATAACTTTTGAATTACATATGATAATGTGTTGATTTTTGACACAATACACCTAAAATAATGACATCTCAACCACAAAGACACTGAAAGTGGAGGACCACAAATCTTTGAATTTGCTTGTTCAAGTTAAATATACAGAGAACTGTGCATCTTAAGTATTGTGGTTGGTTACAAACATTACCTCTTTTTCAAACACAGGTCCAAATTTGATCACATATCACATATGGGCTTGGTCACATAATATAGGGCCCAATCAAATACCAGAGAGTTAGGTCACAAAACAAGAACTTGGTCACATAACACAGGGGCTTGGTCCCATACCATAGGTTTTTCTTCACATATCTAGGAGCTGGGTCACATATCACTTGGGCTAAGTGATCAAGTATCTCATGGGCTAAGTTTATAACACAGAGGATTGGTCACAT